ATGCCAATTTGTCACCAAGCTGGGATTTCAATTAAACCCCAAAAGAAGGGGTCAGAGGTTATGCAAACACGTTGGTAAAGGCCACTCGCCTGGAGGGCTCTCCCGGGGCCACTGGAGCCGGCCCCTTGCTTTACACAGCCCCGAGTGACCCGGGCTGAGGCCAGCATTGTTCCCCCTGCTCCATTCAAGAGGCAGTTTGTCAATAAAATTGACCTCTTGGCTCCTGGGGGTGCTGCCACCTCATCTTTCCCCTTTTCCTGAGTTTGGCTGGAGCAGAGCTAAGGGTCTCTCTGTGGTCCCTGTGGCCCTGGCCATGCCAGGGGTGAGGGCAGGGATGGGAGCAGGAAGGTCACACACTGCAGGAAGGCCCTGCAGCACTCACAGCAGCCCATGGTGTGAGTTTTCTTCTCCCCATGGTGGTTTTTATTCTGCTTTCTGCCTTTGGGGCTTTTGCACCCGAGTTTCCAGCTGGACCCCTGGGAACCACCACCACAAACAGCAGGTTCTGCTCATCATCTCCAGACCTCGTTCTCCTTTCAGGGCCATCATTCTCCACAAGAATCCCACGATGATTTTCTACCCCTCACCACCCAGCCTGGGTTGGGATGACCTCAAGGTCCCTCCTGTAGAACTAAGCCCCGTTGTCCCTCCCTGTTACACAACCCCAAAGTGCCACACAAGGCAGCACCTCTCCCTGCCAAGCCACATCCACCCACCGTGGGCATGCTCCCAATTTTGGGGAGGTGTGGGGCTTCCCGGTGGGTTTGGGTGGTGGGACAGCAGCAGCCCCTGTGCTGGTGCACTAATTGCACTGGGCACTGTTGCAAACAAGCACTGCTTGAACCCACGAGCCTGAGGAGGCCATTTCAGCTGCGAGGTAAATGGATATCATGGAGCAAGTGGCAATTAGTGTGGGTAAAGAGCCCCTTAGTGACTGTCCCTTACATAACACCTTTGTTCCAGGCCCTTCACTTCATACTCAGTTTGTAAATAAACTTGACTCCCAGCTTTACTGGGGCCTTTATTCCCTCTTTATTTTTATTTTATTATTCTTTGAACCTGGGGAAGAACGAGTCGATTGTTCACCCCCAGGGACATGCAGCAATCTGAGGCCCTGCCCGGCCTGGCGGTGCCCACTCGCCCCAAAAGGGGCACTGGCAGCAGCCCACACCAGAGCCACCCACGCAGCAGCAATTTTAATTGCTTTGCCCTCCTGATGGGGCCTGGGGGCTCATTATGCCTCTGGCAATGAATGGGGGCCTGGAAACGTGGCTCTGTAATTGCAGTGGCAGTGGGGACTGAGCTCTGCCCCCAGAGTTTCGGGTCAGGGAGGAAGCCTGGGGGGCTCTGGATCAGTCCAAGCCCAGGGACCTGTCTCTAATTCCCATCGTGTCCTCCCTGTCACCCCCTAACCTGTGGGAGGGTTTCCTACACGTGCCGTGCCACTGCAAGGCTGGCATTAGCAGTGGCTCCAGGGCATGGTGGCCGTGCTTGGGAGGGTTTGGGTGCCAGGGCTCCATGGCTCTCCTGCCTTTAACCTTCACCTGTCACTTTTGCAGGTCCTTTTCCAAAGGGCAGGGCTGCTGGGGAATTATTGAGGTGTTCAGTGCCACGAGTGGTGGCTCTTCCTCCTCTGCCACCTTTGCCTGGGCTCTCCTTGCTGCTGACCTCTCAAACCAGTGCTGCTGATACTGGTCTGTACTGGGAGGCCGTGGGCGCTGCTCTTTGTTCGGTGTGGGGGTGGCCAGGCCCCTGCTACCCTCCCCAGCCCTCCTTCTCCCATATGGTGCCCATTATGGGATGTGTGCACCAGCCCTGTCTGACAAGGAGCATTACAGGTGTCGCTGGGATAACGATTCACACTCCCAGGAAGGTGGGAAAGATGATTAGCTGGCTTTCTATCAACCAGCACACGGCATCAGCTGCTCCGGGCCGGGGGGAGGCGGTGGGGGCTGTGGATGTGTAAGGACATGTACACCAGGAGCTGGGGGAGCCCAGGCTTTGTCCTGCTCCTAATTCCAATGGACTCCCGGGCACCTCTTTGTGTGCCTTAGTTTCCCCAGCTGTAGCAGAGGGATGTTGTTATTGCTTTGACTTGTAAAACACCCTTCGAGCAGCTGACTGAGCTCCTGCATTAGCAAAAGGTGAATTAGGCAGGTCTCTTGGCAGCTGGGCTGCCACGGAGAGGGCAGGGGAGCTGTCAGAGCCGGGGGTCTCAGGGGACGGGGCTGGAGGGGGGGGACATGAATTAAACAAACCCGCCGGACACAGGCATGCGGTGCAGTGTGCCTGGAGCGTGTCCTGCAGGCTGCGAGAGCCCCGTGGCGTGGGGAAGGGTCTCTGGTGCCAGCCTGGCGTGGGCAGGCGGGCAGGGCTCGCTCCACGCAGACGTGTCCGTGCCTTGCCCTGCCTGCATCGTGTCCCTGGGGCCTCGGGCTCTTCCCGCGGGTGTGTTTTAGATAAAGACTCGTTCAGCACGCAGATCCCGGCATCCCTGAGCCTGACACGGGCACAGTGCACACCCAGCCCCTGCGAGCTGCTGGAATTTCTTCAGCTCTTTCCACAGCTCGAATACTGTTGGAGAGAGGGGCAAAATAGGGAAATGAGAGGAAAATGAGCTGTAAATTCTCGGCTGTCCTTTGCTCCAGTGCCGGGAAAGCTGTTCTGTCTCACATTACATCTCCCCAGGTCAGGCTGCGATCCGGAGGTGAGCCCTGCCTCGCAAAGTGCCGGAGCAGAGGGGAAACTGAGGCACGAGCGGAGTCTGGCACCCAAACCACCCCCGGGCGCAGAAGAGGTGTGAAGGCGGGGTGCTCGCCCAAGCTCCTTGTGCTCGGTGGGGGTGCCATCGTCACCCCGACACCGGCGCGACCCTCCGGTCCCGGGACGGCCGCGGGCGCTGCGGGCAGAGCCGGCGCTGCTCTCGCCGAGCCCGGGGCCGGCGGGATTATCTGCTTAGCCGCACCATCTGTTCCTCAAACTGCCATCATTATGTTCAACTTGGGAAGAAAACGGCCCCTACAGAGAAGCAATTTGTTCGCTGACTAAACCTTTCAGGCTCTCGGCGGCCCGGCTCCCGGCGCACGGAGAGCTCCGCGCTCGCTTAAACAAGCGCGGGGAGAGCGGCGGCCGCGGGCCGGGAGCGCCGGGGAGCGGCCCGGGGAGGGCGCAGGGCTCCCCTAATCCGATTACAAAACATAACAGCCTTTCAGAGGGGCCGGGGAAGGGCTCGGGGAGGAGGAGGAGGAGGAGGAGGAGGGAGGTCCATTTCACACCCGACCCCGACGTCTGAGGGTCTCGCAATGATCTCACTGGAGGGGATTTGCTTCCCGGCGCAGTGGGTTGCTTTTGAGATGTGCTGCGAGGAGATCAAAAAGGAGAAGGGGGCTGCCTGGGAAAGGGGAGGAGAGGGCTGAGGAGGGGCGAGGGGCGATGCCTGGAGCCCAGCACCCCTCTTGCCCCTGATCCCTCCTGCATCCCGCGTCTCCCTCCAGCATGTCACACGGACATGGGGACAGGGACGTGTCCTCCCCTGCCGCCTGAGCCGGGAGTGGGGCTGCAGTCCCTGCAGAGACCTTCCTCAGGGCCTGCAGTGGCAGCAGAAACGCGTGACCCACTTCCCTGTGTTTCGTCATGGAATTTCAGTGACACCAAAGCATTTAATGTGCTGATTTTACCAGTTTTCTGTAACGGACAACAGAAGTGGGGAAAGTTTAAAGTGATAGTTTGACTTATATAAAAGCAAGAAGTTTTGACTTACTGCTGTGTTTTAAGAGACGTTTTATGATCATCTGCAAACAAATGCTTTTCATTAGTAATTTCATTCATGTATTTTTGTCCAGTCAGTTAAAGGAAACCCGTGTGCTTCAACAGCAGCAGAGATCAGAACGGGAAGGTCCCACTGTGGCTACTCCGGTTGGGTACAAAGCATTCACCCCAAACTTTGCTGTGCTGGCCCTGCACCCGCTGTCCCCCTGCCTCGGGGGGATGTGGTCCCCTCCTCAGGGACGGTGCTGGCAGTTGGAGGCACCTGTGCCTGCAGGAATCCCACATGCTGAGTGCCAGTCTGGCACAGGAAGGGTGACAGCGTCTGACAGCCACCCCAGGCTCATGGGAGATGGGACCCCAAGGTGTCCCCCCCATCGGGGACTCCAGCACATCCACCATCACCCCTCTAGGAGTCATCTGGGGCTGTGGCTCTGCTCCAGTCGCTGCAGGATTCTCTGTGGGTTCCCTGGAGCGTTCCAGGGTGTTCCAGTCTGCTCCCAGGCAGGGTGGCAGCCCCTTTGCAGGGGGATGTGGGGTCAGGGGTCTGGGTGCTGGGAGTCCTGGGGCTGCAGTGGCCAGAGGAGCATCTCTGTCACAGCAGGGATGAGTGCTGGGGGCATTTATGTGCCTGGTGCAAGGTGAGGAGTGGTCAGGGGGAGGCAGGGGTCTCCCCTGTGCTGGGGACCCTGGTGTCACCCTGCTCCTGTCCCTGGGTGCTGTCCCACACTCCAGAGACTGCACCATCCTCAGGTGGGTGGCACAACCCATGAAACCAAATGGGCATCAGTGTTTGGGGTGCAGGGGAAACTGGGGGGCTTTCCTTCCCCCCTGGATGACACTGGAAGGAAACAGCCAGCAGAGCTGGGCAGGTGCCATGAGAATTCAGGGGCAAATCCTGAAGCTACAAAAAAAAATCCATATATTTTAATTGCTGTGTGCAGAAATGTCTGTACAAAATCTTTGCTGCTCTGTTCAGCCTCCTGGGCCCGTTCCCCAACACAGTCATCCCTCCTCTCCCCATTGCCCTCCTCCTGAGAGCAGCTGTGGGGAAACTGAGGCAAGGAGCAGGGAGGGGAAGTGGCTGAGCCAAGCCTGGACACCCTGAGGTGACCCTGGCAGCAAGAGCCGTGTTGCTCCCCCAGCAAGCACAGGGATACTGCAGCACCTCTTCACCCTGCAAATCCTGTGGACACCCAGCTGCTCCCAAAACGTTTGGGACCAGCAGCTGCCAGGCTGCCAGAAGCCAGCTGGCACTGGCCATGAGAGACCACTGGTGGTGCAGGACCTCACTGGGGATTCATTACACCACGGTGCTGATGCCCAGCTCCTCCTTCCCACTTGCACTGGGGTCACATCCTTCCTCAGCCACCTGCACCAGAGAAAAGAGAGGGGCAGAAATGGGCCCTGATCAGGGCACACTGGGGTTGGGTGGGGGCTCGAGTTGCACCACGAAGGTTTAGATGGAGTATGGGGGGAAATTCTTTCACTGGAATTGTCCAGCACTGGCACAGGCTGCCCAGGGGAGCGGTGAAATCTCCATCCCTGGAGGGATTTAACAGACTTGTGGATGTGGCTCTTGGGGACGTGGTTAAGTGGTGGCCTTGGCAGCAGTGGAACGGTTGGACCTGGTGCTTTTAGAGGGCTTTTCCAGCCTAAAATGAGTCAGGGATTCTCTGAATCCGTGGCCGGGGGCATTTACTGCAGCTCTCCTGCCCTAAATGCTGCTGCAAGAGGAGGGAGCTGGGGGGAAATATCCAACCCCTGCTGCTCCCTGAGACCCCTAAACACTTTTCACCAACAATTCCCCAGCTTTACCTCCCTCAAGACGGTGTTCTCCTCGTACTGCGCGTCCGGGGAGCACCTCAGCACCTTGATTTTCAGGATGGTTCCTGGGGACACCGAAAGCCGGGCGAGGGCGTCTGAGAGCGGGGCGGCCGCTGCCCGGGCTTCCCCTGACATCTAGCGGCAGCGCCGGGCGGGCGGCGGGGAGCCGGGACCGGGGGGAGCCGGGGGGAGCCGGGGGACCGGGGACCGGGGGGAGCCGGGACTGAGAGGGGCATGAACCTGGAAAAAGCCTCAACCCCGGACACAGAGGGGAGCCAGGACCTGGGGGGACGGGGGGGACCGGGGGGGACCGGGGGGGAGCTGGAGCGGGGGGGAACCGGGGGGAGCCGGGACCGGGGGAAACCGGGGGAACCCGGGATCGGGGGGAACCGCGGGGAACCGGCGGGAGCCGGGACCGGGGGGAGCCGGAGGGAACCGGGGGCCGCTGCCCGGGCTTCCCCTGACATCTAGCGGCAGCGCCGGGCGGGCGGCGGGGAGCCGGGACCGGGGGGAACCGGGGGGAGCCGGGGGAACCGGGACCGGGGGGAGCCGGGACTGAGAGGGGCATGAGGGGGAGCCGGAGGGAACCGGGGGGAACCGGGGGGAGCCGGGACCGGGGGGAGCCGGGGGAGCGGGGAGAGCCGGGAGCGAGGGGAGCACGAACGTGGGGAAAGCCTCAACCCCGAGAGGAGCCCCGGACACAGCGGGGAGCACGGACCGGGGGGAGCACAGACGGGGGGATCTGGGACCCGGGGGAGCCGGGGGAAACCGGGACCGGGGGGAGCTGTGGTGGAGCCAGGATTGGGAGGAGCACGGACCTGGAAAAAGCCTCAACCCCGGACACAGAGGGGAGCCAGGACCTGGGGGGAGCCCAGATCCTGGAGGGGAGCCCAGATCCAGGGGAGCCGGGGGAAACCGGGACCGGGGGGAGCTGTGGGGGAGCCAGGATTGGGAGGAGCACGGACCTGGAAAAAGCCTCAACCCCGGACACAGAGGGGAGCACCGACCGGTCACTGGAATTGTCCGGGGGGAGCCCAGATCCTGGAGGGGAGCCCAGATCCAGGGGAAGCACAGACCTGGGGAAAACCTCAACCCCTAGGGGAGCCCTGGACACAGCGGGGAGCACGGAACAGAGGGGAGCACACACCGGGAGGAGCCCAAAACCCGGGAGGAGCACGGACATGGGGAAAGCCTCAACACCGAGGAGAGTCCCGAACACAATGAGGAGCACAGAGCTGGGGGAGCACGGAGTCGGGGGGATCCTCAGCCAGAGGAGAATAAAGCCCCATGGATAACCCCGGCCCACGTGGGAAAACCAGCCCCAAGGGGAGCCCTGGCCCCGGGGGTAACCCCGACCTCTGCTGGGTTTGCACAGAGCTGAGCACCCCTGGGCTCTGCCCGGCCTGCCTGATGGGGATGCTTTGCTTTGAGGCTGCTCTTGCCCTTTTCTCCCCAAATCCACCAATTCCCCTGTCCCTCACACCCTCCATCCCGCTGCACTGGAGGCAAAACTCACCCGTGATGAAGCCCCCGAGCGTTGCAAACAGCAGGGTGAGGGGCAGGGCACTGAGCTGGATGAGTGCTTGGTCAGTGATTGTCCGGCTGCCCTGGGCCACCAGTGGGAATACAAGCTCCAGCCTGCGTGCCAGAGAAGGAACAGGCTTTTGGGAGCTTCTTTGTTTTGGGAGTTTGCTTGTTTTGGGAGCTTTGTTTGGCTCTGGGAATGCCTTCTGAAGGGCTGCTGTAACAGGGTGAGTGGAGCAGCCCTGATCTCAGGGGTTGTGGTGGCCCCAGCTTGGTTCACCAAGGCACTGGCATCCCCGATTCTGGCTCCTCTCACCTGTGACCATGAGTGTCTGCGGTGGCCAGCAGCGTCAGCAGCGTCCCCAGCAAGGCCCCCAGCACCCCAGGCAGCCCGTGGGTGTTGTGAACCCCACAGGTGTCCTGGATTTTCAGCCTGGAGTGTAGAACGGGCTGGGGAGAGCACAGGGAAGAGCTGCTGTTGGGCTGGGGCCTCCAGGGAGGCTGTGCTGCAGATGCCCTGGCCTGGGATCAGCGCCCTTGGCTGTCCCCAGGTGACTCACCGTGAAGAATCTGAAGCCAAGTGGGGACATCAGGCCAACCAGAAGCCCCGCAATGAGGGCCCCAAAGGGGGTGACCAACATCTCCCCAGCCATGCCCATCACTGCCACGCCAGCCAGGGTGGCATCCTGGATCTGAACCTGATGGAGCAGGACACGGTCAGAGGAACTGGCTCCATGGAGAGCATCAGCATGGGACTGGGAGAGGGGGTTGTCTTCCTCAAATTGGTTCTTAATGAACCTAAGGAAGCCTAACAGGCCTCCCCTTTTGCCCTGGGTGTGTTCAGGCTTATTCCTGGATGTGGGATGGATGGAAGGGAGTGAAGCTTGGGTTTGTCCCAGGAGAGGACCTACCATCCTTGGGGTGCTCTCCTCGTAGAGGACAGGAGAGAGGATGAAGGTGGACACGGTGCTTGCCACCAGTGAGAAGTAGGTGTTGAGCACTGCCCAGTTCTCGGCATTGTGGTGGACAGTGGTGGTGGTGGAGGTGAAGCTGGGCCAGAAGATCCACAGGTAGATGGTTCCTGCAGGGAATAGAACAGGTCTTGGTGCTGGAGCTGATCCCTCGTGGGACAAAAACTTCTTGTGAGTGCCAAGAGATGCACGAGGCCACAGCTTGCAGCAAGGGAGGTTCAGGCAGAACACAAGGAAAAGGTTTTTCTAGAAGAGGGTGGTGCAGCCCCAGACAGGTCCCTGGGGAGGTGGAGGACATCTGGCCTTGATGTTTGCAGCAATCTCCTGGTCAAAGCCACAGCCTCTCTACCCTCAGATTGGTGACAACCCTTCCACCAGCAGCAGCTGTAGGTTGTAGATTCGAGCTCCGTACCAACCACAGCAAAGACATCTGTCTGGTGCCCCTTATCCTGCTGCTCTTCCCTCTTCCTCTTGTCCTGGTGGGGCTGATACAAGACCCGTGAAACCATCAGGCCGAAATAAGCTCCGAAGGTGTGGACGGTCAAGGAGCGTCCACTGTCGCTCACCTAGGGAGGATGGAAAATACGGGAAGTTTGTGCAGGGACTGGGGTGATGTGGAAACCCAGAGCACTGGGAATATTTCTCTGTCTGCCCTGGGGTGCCCTGACCCCCAGGGGAGCACTCATTTTCACCCTCATTCATGGAGAAAGTTTCCTAGACTTCAAGATAGACTGGAATCCACTAAAGTGGGAAATAGATTACAGAGAGTAGTGTAGGTGTATCACTTGGTGAGAAAATTAGGATTTGGGATTTTTAGTATGTTGTGGATGGAAGCAAGATGGAGGGCACAGGGTGTTGTCCTGGGTTTCTTCTTCATGCTTCTTCTTCCTTCTTCTTCGTGGGTTTGGGTGGCATTTTGTAATTGGGCAGAAAAGTCCTCATTGGGGCTCTGTGGGATCAGTTATTGGGTTAAAAGGGGAAATAATCTAGGTGCCATTTCTTAATTGGGTAGTTTAGTCTTAAAAGTCCTTGTACCAAGAGATTGTTAGCCATTTTGTGCCTTCTGATGAAAAGCTGCCGAACTCACAGTAGTGAGACTGTTTCACTGATAAGAAATAATAAACACCTGGTCTGAACACGAACTTCAATCCAGACCCAGAGAAACCAACAACTGGTACCCCCACAGCTAGTGCAAATACTACAAGAGGGTGAGGGATTTGTCTCTCCAGATGAGGCAGAACTCGACATGAGGAGCCCAAAGCCAGGGCCACTCCCTTTCTGGTGGCTCCCCCGTCGGTGACTCACCCCCATGAGACCGAGCAGGATGTATTCATTGAGAGTGCACAGGGTGACTTCCAGCAGGGCCAGCAGCAGCATCTGCACAGGGTTTACCCTGCCTAGAACAGCTCCAGTGGAGATCAGAACAGCTGCGGTGCAGAAATCAGCACTGACCATGCTGGGAAGGAGAGGAAAAGTGTGGGACTAGAGCTGGCACTGCCAGGGATGAGCACAGGGACTGGGGAGATCTGGGAGGGATCAGGGGCTGAGCCTGCAGCCCACTGCTCCTGCAAGCTGAGCAGGCAGAGTTTGTGATGCTGGTGACAAAGGGATGGGCTTGAGGCAGGTGGGGGCCAGAGTGCCCCCCCTAAATGCCTTGGCAGTGCTCACACAGCCCTTGCCAGGGCAGAACTCAAACGACCCCGTCCCACTTGCCTTTAAAATACTGCTCCAAAGCAGAGCCATGAGTTTTACAGAGGAGGGAGCCAGTGTGCCAGGGCTGGGCTGGGCTGGGCTGCCTGGGCAGCAGCGGCTCCCTCCTGCCTTACCTCTGAGCTCCCACGTAAATTTTGCCATTGAGGAAGAAGAAAAGCATGCCCTGGATCAGAACAGCCCACTGGATGGCGAAGGCTGTGATGAGGATGATGATGGCTGCACTGCCCGGCCCATAGCGGCTGAGGAACACCACCAGGAGCCCAAAGCTGAGGAGCACTTGGACGTGGACGTCGTGAAAACCTGCTGGAGGAGAGGCACAAGGATGGGTGTGGAGGGGCTGAGGGCAGGCAGCCACCCTCCTGCTGGTCCCTGGGGGGACTCGGCCAGGGCTAGGACACCCCTGCTCTAACAGGCTTTGGGGAGCTGAAGGCTCGCTCCACTCCGTGTGAGTCTGGGGCCACGGTGGAAGATCTTCCTTGGGGATCTGCAGAGGGACAGGTACAGCCACCCCTGCCTGCTGGGACCCTTTGCAGCAGCTCCTGGGCACCCCATCTGCAGCTGCCCTGTGCAGACATCTCAGGGCATTCACCCCACAGCACGGAAAGCTCCTGGGGTGCCCGGGAGCTGTCTGCACCCACCAGACCAGCACGAAAGTGGCTCTGAGATGTCAGCACCCCTGGGTCTTCGCTGCTGCCCCTGAAGGCATCATTCCAGTCATTCCAAGGCATCGTGTCCCAGTTCACAGGACGAGAGAGGAAGGACGAGCAGAGAATTGGGATCGGTCTGGTACCATTTGGTGGCAAACCAGAGGATGGGGGGCTCGATTCTCGCTTGGGCTGAGTGCCCTTTGCACCCCTCCAGCTGACAGCTGCGGCCCGGCCTCCTCCGTGAGTCACTGCCTGGGTGGGGTTACGTGGGCAGGAGAAACCGGGAAAACCTGCCGGCTGCCAGCTCCCTGCCCAGCGGCTCCGCTCGCTCCCCCCTCTCTGCCGGGGCACTCTGAAGCTCCTGTCCCACTGACCACCCTGTCTGCGGCTCAGAAAAGCGAGGGGCAGCCCCTTACCCCGGCAGGAGCCCTGCAGTGATGCCCAGCATGCAGCAGGACGCTGCAGACCCTGTTGGACCGTGTGGTAGCACCCAGGGAGCCAAATCCTCCGTGGAAGGGGCTCAGTGAATCCCCTGGCACTGCAAACCTGGCTGGTCAGTGGGAAGCTCTGCAGAGCCTGAAGTGCCAGGAGCAGCTGCTGCGCTCCCTACCAGCCGTGGGATGATGATCCCTAGATTTTCACTGCACTCAGTGATCCCTTCTGAGCTCCACTGCTCTAACACACGTCCCAGACCCAAATTTCCCTCTTTTGGGGCTGGCTCTGTCCAAGCATTTCAAAAATCCTTGCAGCATGTGCGCTTTACCCGCTCTGGGAATCGCCAGCACCCGAACCCTGCAGCTCGATGCTCCCTCTCTGTTAACTCTGGAGCCAGTGACAGGTCTGGACGGTGTCACCCGGTGCCATCCCCTCAAGCAGAAGGGCTCTCTGCACCCACGGCCGCGGGGGTACTCACGGGGCTGCTGGAAAGCCGAGTCCTGGCTCCTGCGGCTGCAGTTCAGCTGCGGGGGGCACGGCCCGGGGCTGCCCTCGGGGCTGTACCGCACCAGAACCGCGAAGAGGAGGATGATGACGATTTGCAGGAGGAAGCACAGCCCCGAGAGCCGCAGCCTGGAGGCGGCTGCGTGCTCAGCCATGTCGGGGGGCAGCCGGGACAGGTGAACTCCTGCAAAGGGGGTGCATGGGGAGAGCCACGCCGGGGCTGCAAACTCCGCCTGCCAGGTGGCTGCCAGGTGTCTCCTCACCTCGAAGGGACTGCCGGGAGCGGGACAGCGCTGCCAACGCGGAAACTCGGGCAACTTGGATGCCCTGGCACACCTCCGCAGCTGGCCTTGCCGCATCAGGTGGCTGCAGGCGCTGTGCTGGGAAGCGTGTGGGGTCAGTGTCCCTCTCTGCTGGAATGAGGGGCCGGATTTGGGGTGGGCAGGAAAGGCGGGGGGAGGGGATGCATGTGGTTTCTGCCTCTGCGTTGCAGAAACACGGTGGTTTTGGGGACTGGGTCAGGCAGAGGAGGTGGAGGGATGCCCAAGGGTGGGGGACTGACCTGCTGTGGAGGCGCTGGCTCAGCAAAGCTAGGCTCAAATTCCCTGCTCAGAAGGAAGAACGAGTGCTCGGGGGTTCTGGGGATGAGGTTTCCTGTGGGGTCGAGAGGGGAGAAGGAGAATTTGAGCTTTGAAGAGCAGGACCAAGGAGCAGAGTCAGAGGCTCCTGACGGAGCCCACGCCAGGAGCTGGGGGAGCTGAGCACAGGGGGTTCCTTGGCTTTCCTTTGGCTGCCTCTGCTTCTGCAGAGGTGTTTGCAGAGTGGGTGCAGATCCCAAAAAGGGAGAAGAAGAGACAGGGAGCAGAGAAGTAACGCAGCGTGTGTTTGGGAAGTGAAAGAGTCACCCAGACTCTTTCCCATAGCACAAGGCCAGACTCTGAGCTCAGAGAAGCAGGGGTGGGCTGGGTCATGCCCTGGTGCTAACGGGATGGGGAAGGGGGAGAAACTTGCAGTCACCCTGCAAGTGTTCTGCTTCGGGCTGTGGTTTTCCGAGGGCTGGGGAGTGTAGCTGGTGCCTTCACTTGGGAAAAATGTGAGAAACAGCTCGCTGGTGATAGCAGAGCTGGGAATCAGCTTCCTGCAGCCAAGAAGCCCAGAGTTGCTGCTGGGGGAGAACAGGATGTGCTTCTGCAGCCGTGGGCACAGGAAGTGTGAGGGAGGGAGATGACAGACTCCCCGAGGAGCCTCAGACCCTCCTGATAACCGTGGGGAGCTGCAGGGAGGAGCCTGCAGTGCTGCTGCTCCACTTTAGCCTCCCTCAGCCCCGGGAGAGCAAAGCTGTCGATGTGTTCGTGGGTCCCAGGATGAGGGAAGAGATGAATCTGACTCCTTATTTCTTAGAAGGCTGATTTATTGTATTATATTAAAAAGTGTTATACTAAAACTATACTAAACTGTAGAGAGAAAGGAATACATAGAAGGCTAGGAAAGGAATAAATAATAAAAACCTGTGACTGCTCAGAGCCTCGACACAGATGGACCATGATTGGTCATCAAGTAAAAACAATTCACATGAGACCAACCAAAGATGCACCTGTTGGTAAACCATCTCCACAGCCATCAGAGAGTTATTGCTTACATTTCTTTTCTGAGGCTTCTCAGCTTCTCAGGAGAAAATCCTCACAAAAAGATTTTCATAAAATATCACAGTGACACAAAGCTACAGACACGTTTTTTTCATTGCAATGAGCCAAAGCTCTGACCATTGTGAGCTGGAAAAAGGCTTCCAGTGCAGCCTGCTGCCATCAAAATTGATGTCCCTCCTTGAAAAGAGGCTGGGAGCAGTGGGGAGCTGTGGGGGTAGCAGTTGTGGGTTTCTCTGGGTCTGGATTGGACACTTGAGACATGATTCATGTTCAGACTCAAGTGTTTATTATTTCTTATCAGTAAAACAGTCTCACTACTGTGAGTTTGGCAGCTTTTCATTAGAAGGTACAAAATGGCCAACAATCTCTTGGTACAAGGACTTTTAAGACTAAACTACTCAATTAAGAAATGACACCTAGATTATTTCCCCTTTTAACCCAATAACTGATCCCACAGAGCCCCAATGAGGACTTTTCTGCCCAATTACAAAATGCCACCCAAACCCACGAAGAAGAAGGAAGAAGAAGCATGAAGAAGAAACCCAGGACAACACCCTGTGCCCTCCATCTTGCTCCCATCCACAACATACTAAAAATCCCAAACCCTAATTTTCTCACCAAGTGATACACCTACACTACTCTCTAGAATCTATTTCCCACTTTAGTGGATTCCAGTCTATCTTGAAGTCTAGGAAACTTTCTCCATGAATGAAGGTGAAAGTGAGTGCTCCCCTGGGGGTCAGGGCACCCCAGGGCAGACAGAGAAATATTCCCAGTGCCCTGGGTTTCCACAGGGAGCAGGTGGGGGACGAGGGCACCCAGATGCCTTTCTCCCAGGGGGAGCTGCTTGCTGTGCTGTGCGTGCCATGGTGAGGCCAGGGTGGTGCTGGGGACAGTCACCGCTTGTCTCGTGCTTCCTTTGAGAAGAGCTTCCTCCACCCTTGGAGATGGACCCTGGGGGAGGCAGAAGTCGTGGCAGCCCAGAACACAGCACCATTGTGTGCCCGTGCTGTGCTCCTGGCCCGAGGGGATGATGGGGAAGCCTCTCTGATGCCATTTTGGAGGGCAGGATAAATCCAGAGGGACTCCAGCCATGGGGCAGCCCCCTTGCACAACTCTCCAGAGCCTCAAGGGCTGGGAACATCATCCCTGCATCAAGGACAGGGAGAGGGGAATAAAATTAACCATTGCCTTGCTGTCTGTGGGCTCAGAGAGCCCAGTCCCAGCGCAGGGGGGGCTTTGCCAGCCCAAGAGGCTGCTGGAGCCCGATGCAGAACCGTCATTTTCCCTGAATTCCCAAAGCTGTGGCCTGCAGATAAAGGGATGTTTGTTATCCGGGCACACTGTGTTTTGCCGAGCAGAACAATAAAGAGAAAGACACTCACAATGGGAAATTGTGCTTCCTCCTCCCTGTGCGCTCCTCGGGGAGGTGTTGGAGGGGGAAAAAAAAAAGAGAAGAAAGCAGGAAGAGACGGTGACAGGGCAGGGAGCGAGGGCACGGCCAGCACCATGGGAGCGGGCACCAGGGGCCCGCGGGGCCACGGGGCTGCCAGGACAGCGCCCACCCCAGCACGGTGACAGGGAGGGGCTGGCCGGCAGCACCTGCTCGCCACCTCCCGTGGCTCCGTGTCCCCGTGTCACCTCTTCCTCGTGGCGCAGGTCCGGCCTTCGCGGGACCCTTGGCCCCACCATGGGGTGTTCATGACCGAGGAGGGAAGCAGCAGGAGCTGCAGGTGGGCAGGGGGCGTTGGATGGGCACGGCGGCTCCCCGAGGGACGGTAAGAGACCGGGGGGGTGCCAGCGAGGAGGGTTGGCACAGGCGGTGGGGTCGCTGTCCTGCAAGCCATGTCACTGCACAGCAAATGTCAGAGAGATCCCCAAAGCAGGAAGCGAGGAGGGTTGGCACAGGCTGTGGGGTCGCTGTCCTGCAAGCCATGTCACTCTGCACAGCAAATGTCAGAGAGACCCCCAAAGCAGGGCCACACCCTCCAGGCCCCCCAAAGCCGGGGTGTGTCCCCCTGCGTGTCCCTGACCCCTGTGCTCCCCCAGGCTCCGTCCTGCACCCAGCTCTGAGGATGCACAGGCTGCTCCTGCTCGGCTGCCTCTGGCTCCTGGCAGCACCCCCAGTGTCCAGCATCTTCCAGCGGCCAACGGGGACCCCAGGTAGGGAGCAGGGTCTGGGGGGCAGGATGTGGAGCCCCTGTAGGGAGCAGGGTCTGGGGGACAGGATGGAGCCCCTGTAGGGAGCAGGGCCTGGGGGACAGGATGGAGCCCCTGCAGGGAGTAGGGTCTGGGGGACAGGATGAAGCCCCCATAGGGAGCACGGTCTGGGGGGCAGGATGGAGCCCCTGTAGGGAGCAGGGTCTGGGGGGCAGGATGGAGCCCCTGTAGGGAGCAGGGCCTGGGGGATAGGATGGAGCCCCCATAGGGAGCAGGGTCTGGGGGGCAGGATGAAGCCCCTGTAGGGAGCAGGGCCTGCAGGGAGGATGGGGCACTGCTCTTTGGAGTCGGTGCTGGAGAGGGGAGGTGATGCTGCACGTGTCCAACCAGGGCAGGAGCTGAGCTGTGCCTCCTGAAGGTGCAGGAGAGATGAAGAGGGGCCAGGATGGATGATAGAAACCATCAGATGCTGGTGAGGGTTGGGGCTGCTCGGGGGGGTGTCAGAGTGATGGTGCTGAGGCTGTCTGGGGGGCTGCAGCCCCCCTGCACCTGCAGTACCTGCTGGAGCCCCTGCACCCCACGGTGCACACGCAGCGCGGTGCCACGGCCACCCTGCCCTGCGTGCTGCGCGCCCTGCCTCGCAACTACCGCGTCAAGTGGAGCAAGGTGGAGCCGGCCAACTACGGGGAGAACATCATCATCATCACCAACGGGCTGTTCCACAAGAACTACGGGCCGCTGAGCCCGCGGGTGCGCCTGCGGCACAGCCACCGCTACGACGCCTCGCTCACCATCACCGACGTGGCGCTGGAGGACGAGGGGCGCTACCGCTGCCAGCTGGTCAACGGGCTGGAGGATGAGAGCATCTCGCTCACGCTGCACCTCGAGGGTGAGCTTGGAATCATCCTTGGGGGATGAGGGGTGCTAAATCTACCAGCTGGTCAGCGGGCTGGAGGATGAGAGCATCTCGCTCACACTGCACCTCGAGGGTGAGCTTGGGGTACGGCCCTGAGGGATGAGGGGTGCTAACTCTACCAGCTCATCAACGGGCTGGAGGATGAGAGCATCTCGCTCACACTGCACCTCGAGGGTGAGCTTGGGGTACAGCCCCGGGGGATGAGGGGCGCTAACGCTGCCAGCTCATCAACGGGCTGGAGGATGAGAGCATCTCACTCATGGTGCACCTCGAGGGTGAGCTTGGGGTGCATCCCTGGGGAATGAGAGGCACTACTACTGCCAGCTCATCAACGGGCTGGAGGATGAGAGCATCTCACTCATGGTGCACCTCGAGGGTGAGCTTGGGGTGCATTATAACAGTCTGGGGTTTTGGGGTCTCTGATCCTGTCTGCTGCAGGTGTCTGGATAGCGAAGTCTTGCTAAGCACAACCTGTCTGGGTCCCTCAGGCGGGCTCCCAGCTGCAGGCAATCTTAGCAAGCAGCTCAGCTCTTAAGTGAGATCAGCCCTTTGGTGGATTCAGATCTTTAGTGATTTCAGCTCTTTGCTTGCTAAGTGCCTCAGCACACACAGGGATGAGAGAGGAGAAGAGTTGTGTGAGGTTCCACAGACGTGTCTTTATTGGCAGCTTCTGCGAAGGGTCACAGTGACAGTTCTTCTGCTGAACTGGGCAGAAGTGGGTGTTTATATAGGGTATAGGGGTTTTGGGAAACAGTCCAACAGTAAGGGTCAAGGTGAAAATGGCCTATCAGAGAGATAAGGAGGGCCTGAGGTGGAAGAGGGGTCTCTTGGTCCAGTCATCATGACTGAGCATTCCTTATCTTAGGTAACGGACCACCAGGGAGGCCTTGAAGGCCCAGTGGCCACTACATCCCTGGAGGATCTGGCAGGAGGGGAACACAGCTGGAATGGAGCATGTGGCTCTACACCTCCACCCCCATTGCATCACCATCCCCTAGCCTTAAACTCAGCACTGAGTCCCCAGGGGTGTTGAGTCAAAGCCTCCTTGGGGAGAGCATTGCCCTCACCCCGTCTCTGTCCCTCCAGGCGTCGTCTTCCCTTACCAGCCCAGCAACGGGCGCTACAAATTCAACTACCACGAAGCCAAGCGAGCCTGCGAGCAGCAGGACTCCCGCCTCGCCACCTACCAGCAGCTGTACAAAGGTGAAGCATTCAAAATAATCCTTCCTTTTCAGCCCAAAACCACGCCTGTCTGGGGATGGGGAGGAGGGAAGTGCCAGGGTGTCGTTGTGTTTGCGCGTCCCAAGACAAGGGAAGAGATGAATCTGACTCCATATTTCTTAGAAGGCTGATTTATTATATTATGATATATGATATGATATAGTGCTATACTAAAAAGAATAAAGAAAGGATTTCATCAGGAGAGGAGAGGAGAGGAGAGGGGAGGAGAGGAAAGGAAAGGAAAGGAAAGGAAAGGAAAGGAAAGGAAAGGAAAGGAAAGGAAAGGAAAGGAAAGGAAAGGAAAGGAAAGGAAAGGAAAGGAAAGGAAAGGAAAGGAAAGGAAAGGAAAGGAAAGGAAAGGAAAGGAAAAACTTGTAACAGACAGGGAGTCTGACACAGCTGGACCATAACTGGTCATCAAGTAAAAACAACTCACATGAGACCAATCCAAGATGCACCTGTTGGTGAACAACCTCCAGACCACGTTCCACAGCCATCAGACAGTTATTGTTCACATTTCTTTTCTGAGGCTCCTCAGCTTCTCAGGAGAAAATCCTGGCAAAAGATTTTTCACAAAAATATCACGGTGACAGCAGGGCTGAGCTGCCTCTCGCCCCACAGCCTGGACGGAGGGGCTGGACTGGTGCAACGCCGGCTGGATCCTGGACGGGACCGTGCACTACCCCATCATCAACGCGCGGGAGCCGTGCGGCGGCCGCCTGCTCCTGCCCGGGGTGCGCACCTACGGCGCCAGGGACAAGCAGAAGGACAGATTCGATGCTTTCTGCTTCACCTCTGCCCTTCAAGGTAGCCCTGAGCTCCCCTGTGCTTCTCACAGCGCCCCCGAGCCCTGCTGCCCGCGGGGATCTGCAGCAGGTTGTGTCTTGTGTTTGCGGGATTCCCAGACGAGTCACAGAAGAAGCAAATCAGATAATTACTGTTTCCATTTTTTTCTGAGGCTTCTCAGCTTCCCAGGAGAAAAATCCTGGGCAAAGAGATTTTTCAGGAAATATGACGGCGACGGTTGTTTCCAGGAAAGATGCTCACCTGCCGTGTCCCCCCTCCATCCCCCAGGCCAGGTCTACTTCATCCGGGGCCACCTGAACTTCAAGGAGGCGGGGCAGGCGTGTCGCAACCACGGGGCTGCCCTTGCCAAGGTGGGCCAGCTCTACTCAGCCTGGAAGTTCTCGCAGCTGGACCGCTGTGACGGGGGCTGGCTGGCGGACGGCAGCGTCCGCTACCCCATCACCACGCCCCGGCAGCGCTGCGGCGGGCTGCCCGACCCCGGCGTGCGCAGCTTCGGCTTCCCCAGCAAGGAGATGAGGACCTACGGCACCTACTGCTTCGTGGGCAAGTGAGGAAGGACACGGGGCTGAGCAGAGGGGACAGCGGTGGGAGACCAGTCCTCATCACCTGGGCAGAGAGCTGGGGGCAGGCAGGAGGGGTGGGTGGTCTCACAGCGGTTTTGGGTGGTTTGTGTGTCCTCTGGTAGAGCTGGGTGTGGGTTCCCCTGATGGAGAGGGTGCCCGTGTCCCACCCCATGAAGCTTGTGGGGTGCTTGGGACTCCCTGTGGGGTGTTTTGGACTCCTTGTGGGGTGTTTGGGACACCTTGCGGGGGCTTCATGGGGAAGTGAGGACACGGGGCTGGGCAGAGGGGACAGCAGTGGGACATCAATCCTCATCACCTGGGCAGAGAGCGGGGCAGGAGGGGTGGGTGGTCTCCCAGCAGTTTTGTGCATCCTGCGATAGAGCTTGGGTGTAGGTTCCCCCTGATGGAGAGGGTGCCCGTGTCCCACCCCATGAAGCTTGTGGGGTGCTTGGGACTCCCTGTGGGGTGTTTTGGACTCTTTCTGGGGTGTTTGGAACACCTTGGGGGTGTTTGGGACACCTTGTGGGGGCTTCATGGGGAAGTGAGGACACGGGGCTGGACAGAGGGAACAGTGGTGGGATGCCGGCCCTCATCACCTGGGCAGAGAGCTGGAGGTGGGGGAGGAGGGGTGGGTGGTCTCCCAGCAGTTTTGTGCATCCTCTGGTAGAGCTGGGTGTGGGTTTCCCTGATGGAGAGGGTGCTTGTGTCCCACCCCATGAGGCTTGTGGGGTGTTTGGGACTCCTTATGGGGTGTTTGGGACATGTGGGGTGTTTGGGATGCATTGTGGGGTGTTTGGAGCATCTTGTGAGGTGTTCAGGACACCTCGTGGGGTGGGGTGTTTGGAATATGTGGGGTGTTTGGGACATCTAGTGGGGGGTATGGGATCCGTTATGGGGTGTTTGGGGGATCTTGTGGACTGTTTGGGACACATTGTGGGGTGTTTGGCACTCCTTGTGGGGTGTTTGGGACATGTGGGGTGTTTGGGATGCATTGTGGGGTGTTTGGAACTCCTCATGAAGTGTTTGAGACTCTCTATGGGGTGTTTAGGACATCTCATGGGGTGTTTGTGGCATTTTGTGGGTGTTTGGGACACCTCGTGGGTGTTTGGGATGCACTGGAGGAGCAGACCCGCTGCTGGACCAGGAAGGGGGGGTCTAATGCAGCCCCCCGCAGCCAGCCCAGGCTGCCCATTGCCCACCCTGGTGAATCCCTGGCTCCATCCTTGCTCCCCATGTCCATGGGGGCTCTGCCTGGGGGGCTCTGCCTGGGGGCAGGGGCTGGGCTCGGGCTGGGCACTAACGAGTGGCACTAATTGCGTGTTGCCTTCTCAATTAATAAAGCAACAGCAGAACTCTCTGGCAAAGGCACGCAGGGGGCTTGTCTGGCTCCTTCCCTGGCACTCTCCAGGGAATTTGACAGGGATTTTCCATCCCCAGCGCCCTCTCCAGGGGTTATCTGTGCTCTGGCCGCTCCACTCCAGGGTTTGATGGGTGTTGCTGCTCAGCACAGCCCAGGACAGTGATAAAAAGCTGTGGGTCACCACAGTGCACGGGGAGCTGCCCTGGCACCGGGGATGTGCTCTCCCTATTTGCTGGGAGCAGTGTCCCATGCCAAGCCCTGAGTGGTACCCAGCTCTGCTGGGATCTGGGGGCACTCTGGGTGGTGTCTCCATTTCTGAGGCTCCTGGGGTGTCTCTGTGCCCAGCTTTGCTGGGATGAGGGGGCACTTTTGGATGGTTTCTCCCTGTTTCCCCCTGTTTGTGGCTCCTGGGGGTGTCTCTGGAATGTGGGGACACTTTGGGGTGGTTTCTCCCTTTGGCTGTGGCTCCCGGGGCTGTCTCTGGGATGTGGGGACACTTTGGGGTGTTTCCCCCCTGTTTCTGAAGCTCCTGGGGTGTGAGTGTCTCTGTGCCCAGTGCTGCTGGGATGTGAGGGCACTTTGGGTGGTGTCTCTGTTTCTGAGGCTCCTGGGCTTTTAGCTCCTGGGGTGTGAGTGTCTCTGTGCCCAGTGCTGCTGGGATGTGAGGGCACTTTGGGGTGGTTTCTCCCTGTTTCTGGGGCTCCTGGGGGTGTCTCTGGGATGTGGGGACACTTTTGGGTGGTTTCTCTCTGTTTCTGTGGCTCCTGGGGCTCTCTCTGGGATGTGGGGACACTTTTGGGTGGTTTCTCCCTGTGTCTGAGGCTCCTGGGGTGTCTCTGTGCCCAGGCTCTCCCTCACTGCTGCCACCCTCCACCCTTTGGGGCTGCGCAGCCCTGTCAGTGCCACCCCTGTGCCAGGCGCCCCCAAATAACCAGGTCACCACTCTGTGCCATCTGTTCCTTGGTTTTAATACCCACAGAAGCACAGAGAGGGGGTTTGGGCAGCTCGTACCCACTCCAAGCCTGCTGCAGCAGCTTCTGCTTCCCAGGGAAGTGCAGAATCCCCCCCACACCCCTGGATGGGTGCTGAGCTGCAGCAGAGCCTGGATGTCCCCATGTCAACCCCCAGCAGGGTGGGAGAAGGTGGCTGGGGGTGATGCTGGCACCTCAGTGCCATCCCCTGCCCGTGGTGTCCCCCTGGATTTCAGCTCTGCTGTGACTCTGGGGACAAAACTCCCGTTGTGCTGCATTTTGGGGCTCCTTTCAAGGGGCTCTTTAATTTTTTAGGATTTCTTTGTACAGATATCAAACACACAAGGGGGCAGACACCCAACAGCGAGGTTTCACTCCGCACACCGAGGTCCCAGTGCCGTCCCCATCCACACCGGCGCGGGGCTTGGGGTGGTGCTGCCTGCCAGCCCAGGCACCCCCTCACTCCTCGGGGGGCTGAGCCAGACCTGGGGGGACACAAGACGCGCCAGGTGAAGGCAAAGCTCCACGGGGGGGTCCTGGGGGGGTCGGGGGGAGCCCTCCACTCACCAGGACGGCAGGCCAGCTGGGGTGGCTCCCATGTGCCATCCTCCCGGCAGCGGATGACGGGCGAGCGGCGCGGGGCGAGGCCGGGCCGGCAGCGGTAGCGAGCGGTGGAGCCGATCTCGTAGCGCTGCTTCGCTTTGCCAAAGGCGAGGGCGTTGCTGAGGGCGGGGGGGGGCCCGCACTGCACTGCAGGGGGGGTCGGTACATTGCAGCAAACCCCCCCCCAGCCCCGACAGACTGAGGGTGCCGCGGGCAGGGCTCGTTTCCCCGCCGTGGCGATGCCCCTCTTTGGGGTGGCACAGCTTACCCAGCCCCATCTTGCAGGTGTAGGAGAGGTGGTAGTTGCAGGGCACGTCGCTCCACTGGCCCCCATCGTGCCACACGATGACCACGCAGTTCTCCCCCGAGAGGAAGTAGCTGTCGGGCTGCCCGGGGTGCCAGTTCTCGTAGAGCTGCGGGCACAGGCGGCACGGGGTGCGCGGGGCATCCAGCACACCCCCTGCCTCCCGGCCGTGCCAGCCCCATCAGGGCCACCTCCGTGGCCCTTGGAGGGACCCCAAACCCCGGCTCCGGCTCCCCTGGGGATGCTCAGCCAGGTGAGGCCAGCGGCTGCAGTTTGGGAGCCTCAAAGCCCGGCCCCGGGGCTGAAACCCGAGGATGATGAGGTGCCAGGCGGGCTGGTGCCCCGCTGTGAGGGCACACAGGGGTTGGCACCCCACTTACCAAGGGGCTCCCGTCAGACCACTGGAAATCCCCCTCGATGGTGCGGTCGTTCAGGCCGATCCACTGGTACTCCCTGTACTGGTCTGGGGGACACGGGGTGGGTTGGGGACAGGGACACAGCCAGCTGCCACCTGCCAGGGGGAGCTGAGCTGCTGCTGGAGGCTGAGTTCAGGGAGATTTGGGACCTGGGGGGCAGTGGGAGGTGAGGGTGACCCTCGCCCTGCAGCGGGAAGGTGCTGGGAAGTTTGGGGACACCCGAAAGGGACATCGGGGAACCCCTTCACCCCTCACCCCCGGGGGAGGCGAGACAGGGCCGGCCGGGAGAGGGCGGCAGAGCCTCGGGACCCGCCTGTCCCCTCCTGTCCTCGCCTGTTCCCCTGTCCCTGCAGGTCCCCGCCTGTCCCCACCTTGCCCTGCCAGTTTCTACCTGGCCCCTCTGGTCCCCACCTTGCCCCGCCGGTCCCCATCTGGCTATGCCAGTCCCCGCCTGTCCCTGCAGGTCCCTACCTGACCCTGCCAGTCCTCAACTGGCCCTGCAGGTCCCCACCTGTCCCTACCTATCCCTGCCTGTCCCTGCAGGTCCCCGCCTGTCCCCCCTGGTCCCCACCTGTCCCCGCCTGTCCCTGCCTGGCTATGCCACTCCCCACCTGTCCCTGCAGGTCCCCACCTTGCCCTGCCAGTCCCCACCTGGCTCTACCAGTCCCTTTTCTGGTCCAGCCAGTCCCTGCCTGTCCCTTCGTGTCCCTGCAGCTTCCTGGGAGGTCTCTCCTGCCTCTTCCTCCTCCACCCTCGTGTTCCTTCAGACCTCTTTGCCCTCTGTCCCCTTCCCATGGCATTTGTCCCCTGCTCTGCCTCCATCTGCCTTCCCCCATCCCTCCAAGGCTGATTTCAGGCAGGTTGTGGCTTTGCCTTCAGATTTATGTGCACACACCCACCCCTCTGCTGGTCTGCCCACCCATCACTGGGATTGTTGGAAAGATTTTGTTGGAAAAGACCTGCAAGGTCATCGAGTCCAACCATCCCCCACAGCCAGGGCCATCACTGTCCCCAAGTGCCACATCCACATCTCTGAAATCCCTTCAGCCATGGGGACTCCTCTGGGCAGTCCCTCCTTCCTCTCCATGGAGGAATTTTCCCAATATCCAACCTAACCCTCCCCTGGTGCAGCTTCTTCTGGTCCTGTTCCTTTTTCCCTGGGAGCAGGGCCCAACCCCCAAGTGACTTCACCCTCCTTTTAGGGAGCTGTAAAAAGTGAGAAGGTCCCTCCTGAGCCTCCTTTTTTTTCCAGGCTGAGCCCCCCGCGCTCCCTCAGGTGCTTCAGAGCCCCTTCCCCACTCTGTTCCCTTCTCTGGACACATTTCAAGGGCTGAGCCTCTCTGTTCCCATGGCTCTGCATGTTCAATCCATGTTCTCACCTGTCTGTCCGTGTGTCCATTCAGCCCTGCAGGGCTGAGCTCTGCTTTGTTTCAAACCCACAGCCCAGCACCGCAGGTCCCTGAAGGGCAACAGAGATCATTTCTCCCAGGCTGAGCCCGGGAATCTTAGAGGAAAGAACTCAAGCAATTATTATCTCTCTTTCTGTAAGCATTGTTTATAGTTATGGTTCTCCACAGTGTGCTATTCATAGTCACCAACAGCGTGAGATGTTTCTGGTTTGAGACCAGTTAGGTGTTTCTAAATTTGAGCTCACCAATAATGTGAGATGTTTCTAATTTGAGACCAATCACCTTAGCGAGTCACATTATAAAAGACCCTCTACTTTCATCAAACACAGCCTTCTGATCCACCTGAAGACTGGAGTCTTTCCTTCCATCCCTGACTCAACAGCTCAACAGCCTCATCTCTGCTGTGTCCCACAGCAAGCAGCCTCCTGGGGCCACCAGCTCTGGGGCAGGGGAAGGTCTCAGGTGCAGCAGGACGTGCCTGGAGCAATCCCACACCGCCCTTCCACCCCTGGGTGTGACCAGCTCAGCAGCCCTGGCCCAGAGCTGGCCAGACCTGGGTTTTGGCTTTCCCTGGAACACAGAGATGAGAGCTGGATGCTCTTATCTCCCCTTCACTGGGCTCATTGCCACACCAGCCCCTGGCCCGCTCCCTCTGCCCAGGCCAGCTCCTGCTTTTCCCTGCAGTGTTTTGGGAGGGAAGCACGCAGACCATAAAGCTGTTGGCACATCCCAGCCACGTGTCCTTGGCCTGGCAGCAAGGTGACTGCAGGCCTGTCCCTCTGGTGTCACCTCCAGCCTGGCCAAGGCTGATAACTCAGCCAGCACTTGCCCACGAGCCCGTTACGGTCATTAATGCACCCGGAGCACAGCGTGTGCTCCCAGCCCAGCTCAGAGCGTGATGAAGAGCTGCTGCCAGCAGACTCGAAGTCCTTGACCCACTCCAGCTTAATCATGCCCCATTTTATGGTGCTCAGCTCGTGGAGATGTGACAAGAGTGATGCTGCCACCCTCGCCCCTCTCCAGGCAGTGTCACCTCCCCACGAGGTGCTGGTGGCTCCCTCGGGCTGTGCAGCTCATGCCCGGCAGAGCGAGGCAGGGAACAGGATGAGTGATCCAGGGCCCTAATGTCACATGGCTGGCTCTTCCTGGGCACCTCTCCTTGCCAAGGCAGAGGCAGCCACCCCACGGGGTCTGGCCACCCTCCACAGAGCCTCCTTCGTGCCATGGGGCTGGGCACTGCCAGGCTGGGGGGCAGGGACCCCAAACGGTGCCCTCTGATGCAGATTCCCTTGCAGGGAGCGGGATGGGGCAGAGGTGGCAGGGGATTGGCAGCAGGACGGGCACCAGAGCTGGGATCACCCCGGGGGGGCAGAGTGGGGCTGGGGGGTGACACCCACCCACAGCAGCTCGTGTTCCCTCTGCTCACCCCTCTCAGCCCCCGTGGTGGGGGGCTGGGGGATGTGGTCCAGGGGTTCTGCAGTGATTTTAGGGTGCCTGGCCACTGAGAGCTGCACAGGGCAGGGTGGCCTTGGGGGGGTTCTGCACTCTGTGACCCATCAGTGTCCCCCACGTGTCCCCCTGCTCGTGCCATGCAGCGTCCAGCCCTCTCCCCTCCTCCCAGGGCAGTGCAGGGCCAGTCCTGGGGGGCCACATGGAGGGTGCAAAGCAGCTCCAGCCCTCGCAGACCCCCCAGGGGTCCCTTCCACCCCGTTCCCGGGGGCTGGCAGGGCCGGGGGCGGGGATTAGTTCGTCAGTGGGAGAGGCGCAGGGGAGCAGGCGCAAGGACGAAGGGAAGAGCTCGCCGAGATGCTTGTTCTACAAAGCTTTTAATTCCCTTTATTAGTACCACGGTTAGTCAGAGCAGGGACTGGGGCCGCCTCTTGCTTATCGGGCTTTTTCATGGAAACAGTCATTAAAACACTTCACAGAAGTAGAAGAGATTTAAGTGCATGCAGAGATCAGACCAATTTGTTTGACAAATATGTGCTTCTCCAGACCTGTAACCTTCCCTTACCCAGCTGAGGAGGAGAGAGAGAGAGAGAGAGGAGACACGGACAGAGAGACAGACAGAGGGAAGCACAGCGTGAAGGAAAGGTGTTGGCTATCTCTAGTGCCACAGAGCAGCCAGGACGGCTGCCCCGAGGGCAAGGGTGGCACGGCAGGGACCCCGGGCCGAGCAGGCGCCCGCCCCGACGCTGGCCCGCTCGGTGGGCAGGGCGGGCAGGGGCACGGCCGTGCTGGGGGCTGGCTCCCCCAGCGGGGTCCCCGGCAGCACCACCCCAGAGGTGTCAGGACGGGGAGAGCTGAGGCCATCCCTGCGGGTCCCACCTGCTTCTCCCGGAACGGCTGCAAGGAAACCCTCCACGGTGGCAACCGAGGGAGCGCGTCGCTCTTCCTCCTCCTCCTCCTCTTCCTCGGAAGCCGCAGCAGGCATCCCTCGGTCTGTGCCCGGCGGTGGCGGTGCAGCCTCCTCTCCTGCCGGGGCCGGTGCGCTGCTGCTGCCGGGCAGCTCTGCGTGCCACGGTGTCACTGCGGGGACAGTGCTCCGCTCCCCCGGGGCCGCGGGCGAGGGGATCCACACGGCTCCCGACTGCTCCTCTCCCTCCTCCTGCGGCTGCGAGGGCGCGGCAGGCAGCGGGGATGCCCCAGGGCTTTCCACCACGTCTCCGGAGAGCTCGGCGTCCTCCGCGGCAGAAAAGGGGGTGCTCGCCCCGCCGGACTTGTGCCCGCGGCGGGGGCTTCCAGCGGCTTCTCGGCTCTCTGTCGAGGTGGCAGAAGCGGCACCGGTTGGCGATGTCATTCGGTGCCCGGGTGGCCCAGGGCTGGCAGGGTGGGCCGGCCGCCCCAAGGAGTCCCGCGGACGGTCCGGGCGCTCTGAGGGGGCGGCGGGGCTGGGCGGACGAGGAAAGCCCTCGGGAGGCTCCGTGTCACCTGCTGGGGCACCGGTGGGTCCCTCTGGCTCCGTGGGCTGGCCGGGGTGTCGCCCTCCGCCCGGGCTCTCCTCCGATGCGCTGCCAGGGCCCCCGCCCGGCGCTGCTCCCTGCTCCTCCTCTGCAAAGGGCAAGCAGAAAGGCAGTGAGCGGCCGGCGCGGGGAGCCAGCCCGACCGCAGGGCACCTGCCAGCAGTGCCCATCCTGCTCGCACCGAGGCGTGCGGGGAGATGGGAGCGGCCCCGAGCCCGTGTGCCACTGTCCCGAGCCCGTGTGCCGCTGTCCCCTCCGCACCGGCGCGGCTGACTGAGCTCTGGCCCGAGGGCTGAGAGCCACGCTCAGCCCCTCGCCACTGCACCTCGTGTCCCTGCAGCTGCCAGCTCCCTTCTCCAGCTCCTGGTGCTGCTGAAGCCTGCTCCAGCACAAGCCCTGCATGCTGGGACACGCAGATGTCCCTTTGGCCCTGCACAGCCCTACGCCAAGACACGGTGCCCCATCCATACGGGAAGGACGGGGACAGCTGGGGTGACCCTGGCACCCTCAGGTGCCTCTGCCCTCTCCTCGTGCCTCCCTTCTGTGGCTGCTCTCTGTGCCCCAGCCCTGGCACCAGCACAGCAGCTGCTGGACCTTCCAATGAGGGACAGTCCCCCACTGTCCCCCATCCTCCTCCGCAGGGGATGGGCTCCCCGGCTCCAATGGGACACCTGCCTCGGGGCTGGCCAGGGCTGTGGGGGAAGGGGAGGCAGGGGTGGGGTGACCTGAGGACACGGAGGTAGCTAGGGGGGGGTGCCGGGCCCCTGGCCCCAGGGTGTCTTCAGGGGACTGGCTCGGCTTGCCCAGGTCAGGGTCCTCAAAGAAAGGGACGGCGTAAATCGCCCCTCGCGACTCGAGCTCCACGTGCGCTCGGGGCAGCTGCAGCTCCTCCAGCTTTTCTGCCACTGTGACAATCTCCTGGAGGAGATTCTCCTCGGGCTCTTGGCCTTGGTATTTTCCTGCAGCCTCAGGGAAAGAGTTTGTCACTTCTGTGGGCAGAAAGAAAGTGGGATATTACTGCCCTGTCCTGGCTCCGCAGCACTCAGAGATGAGCTCACCCCACAGCAGGCCTGGAGCCTTGGCACCCCGGTAGGGACCCAGCTTTCCTCAGCCTCCCCTTCCCCTTCTAGGTGGGGTCAGCATGGGGAGGATCGGGCCCTGCCAGGCAGAGCCAACAGCCTCAGCAGGAGCTGTGGGGCTCAGCAGCACGTGGTGGGGCCAGATCCTAAACCCTGCATTCCCTCCCTGTGGGGATCCTCCTCTACACCCCATCCCCACCCCGGGGAGGGCAGGCATGCATGGGGGGTTAGTGGGTTACAGGGGTTGTGGAATCACGGCACGGGTCCATCCTGCCTAACCCAGGCTTTCCCTGCTGAGAGATGGGGAAACTGAGGCCCAGAGATGCTCAGCATCCCCATGCTGTGAGCCCCCATGGCCCTGAGCAGACACACAGAGATGTGGGGTCAGGCAGGAGTGGTGGAGGACAGCTCTGCTTCCTTCTGTGCCTGCTATCCCTGCCAGCCTCTGTCCTGCCTCACCGCTCACAGGCAGCACCTTGCTGCTCCCCACAGGTCTCCTTCCTGCCCACCACCGCCCCAAACCAGCCTGGCAGGCTGTGCCCCACGGCCCCAGGGACCCAGGAGTGTCCCCAGGCCTGCAGCTCAGGGGGATGAGCCCTCCTGGAGCTGTGCCCACGGAGCCCATGCAGAGCGACGGTGCCACGCAGGACAGCCCTGTTCTGTCACAGTAAACTGGCACCGGGGACTGAGGACATGCAGGGCCACCCTGCTCTGCCACAGTGTGTCAGCATGCACTGCTGGAGCCATGCAGAGCATCCCTGCAGTATTGAGAGCTGTCAGAAAGCACTGCTGGGACCCTTAGAGCATCCCTGCAGTACCAAGAGGTGTCAACATGCACTGCTGGAGCCATGCAGAGCATCCCTGCAGTATTGAGAGCTGCCAGCATGCACTGCTGGGACCCTGCAGAGCATCCCTGCAGTATCGAGAACATGCAGAGCTGGGAGTGTTGAGTCAGCATGCACTGCTGGGACCCTGCAGAGCATCCCTGCAGTATTGAGAGCATGCACAGCTGGGAGTGTTGAGTCAGCATGCACTGCTGGGACCCTCAGAGTCTCCCTGCTGTACTGAGAGGTGTCAGCATGCGGTGTCAGGATCATGCAGAGCATCGAGGTGTCAGCACGCAGCGTCAGCACCATGCAGGTTATGCCTCCCCTCTCAGGTCTATCGGCATGCAAGGCACCCCTGTCCTAGCCCAGCAGGTTGTATCAAACACCCCTGCCCTGCCCCGACAGCGCAGCACCGGCACCGAGAGCACCCAGGGATCCCAGCGCACCCCCGGCCCTGCAGCACCCCCGGGGACACGCACCCCCCCGGGGGCTTCCCGAGGCCTCCCACCCGTCCCTGCTTGGCAGCATCGGCGGCCCGGGGGTGCCCCTCTTTACCTCGGAAGCAGTAGGCATCGTATCTGCTCTGGGCATCGGGAAATCCCGTCTGGTTTCGGAAGAGGAAGATGGTTTTGACGCCGGGCAGAGCCCCGCCGCAGCGCTCCCGGGGCGTGACGATGGGGTAGCGGACGCTGCCGTCGGCCAGCCAGCCGGGGCTGCAGGCGTCCAGCCCCGCGTTCCAGGCGGCGTACAGCTGCCCCGGGCTCGCCAGCTCCGCGCCCAGCGCCCGGCAGCGCTGCGCCGCCTCCTCCAGCGTGAACCTGTCCGGGGCCGTCTCCAGAAAGATCTCCCCTGAGAGGAAGGAGACGGGAGTCAGAGATGGGGAGGGGGACAAGGGCGGCGGGAGCCCCCTCACCTCCTCCACTCTCTGCATGAGCCCAGGAGCGGTGTGGGGATGGAGACTGCAGTGTGTGGAGGCACATCGGGGGCTGGAGGGGGGCTGCCTTCCTGACTGCTTCCTGCCTTCCTGAGTGCTTCCCTGCCTGCATTCCTGCATCCCTCTCTGCTTCCCTGTCTGCTTCCTGCCTTCCTAAGTGTTTCCCTGCCTGCATTCCTGCATCCCTGTCTGCTTCCCTGCCTGCATCCCTGCCTTCCTGAGTGCTTCCCTGAGTGCTTCCCTGCCTTCCTGAGTGCTTCCCTGCCTTCTTTCCTGCATCCCTGCCTGCTTCCCTGCCTTCTTTCCTGCATCCCTGCCTTCCTGAGTGCTTCCCTGCTTCCTGAGTGCCTCCCTGCCTGCCTTCTTCCCTGCATCCCTGCCTGCTCCCCTGCCTGCCTCCCTGCCTGTATCCCTGCCTGCTGCTTCCTGGCTTGCCTTCTTCCTTGCTTCCCTGTCTGCATCCCTGCCTCCCTGCCCATGCACAGAAAGCCACAGTGCAGGCACGGCTGGAGCTCTCACGCCACATGGGAATGATTCCTGCCCTTGCAAACAGAGCTGAGACTTTGAAGCGCCCCTGGACGGGACTGCAGAGGAGGAGGTCCATGCCCTGCACTGAGCAATCCACGTGTGGGACATTTCTGAGGAGACCTGCAAGCCCAGCGAGGGGTGGGTGAGGCTTCACGCTCAGGAGGGCTGGAGACCACTGCCCTAGGGCACAGCACGTGCCAACCCCCCCAGCTGCACCTGCCTCCCTGTCCCTCACCCCTGCCACCGGCCTGGCACCACCAACTGACCCCACAGCAGCAGCCACCACCAGTGGGGAGCCCCAAAGGAGGGACCAGCCACCCCCAGGTACACACAGCCAGGCAGGATCTGCAGCCCTGCATCTCATGCAAAGCATGGCACATGCACAACCAAACCCCAAAGCACCCAACACTGCGTGCTGCTGGTCTGGGGCAGATCACTGTGGGCACAGCCCAGCCTGGGCACTGCCTGCTGCCAGGGACTGAGCCCCACACCCCACCAAAGGGAACCAGGAATGCTTTAGGAAGCGGCACAGCAGGTCCCCACACCCGAGAGACAGCGCCTGCAGCTTTTTCACTTGGGTTCACAAGGGGTTACGGGGCAAGTTAGTGTGGGAGCAAAAGCAGAGGAGGGCAAGAGGTGGCACCACGGGCACCTGGGAGGTCCTCAGCGTAGCAGTACACATCATACATGTCCTCCGGGTCCACCACTCCATAGTTCCTCACCCCGGGGAAGCCGTTCATGTCTCCGTAACAGGCCTCACGGGGGGTCTGGATGGGGTACCTGGGGCAGGAAAGCACAGGGGAGCTGGTGACTCGCTGGGGAAGGAGCGGGCGAGGCCCCGGGCACAACACCTGGGCAGCTGCGGTGCCCACCTGACGGTCTGGTCGGCGATCCAGCCGGCGTCGCACTGCTCGTAGCCCCCCAGGTAGGCGGCGTAGAGCTGCTCGGGGGTGGCGATGCTGGCACCGATCCTGGCACAGGCTTCCTGCGCCTCGGCAAAGGTGTAGGCGTAGCGCATGGAGCCCTCCCGGTAGTGGAACACCACCCCTGCGGGCAGACACGGCCGTGGGCAAGGGGCTTCGCAGCAGCCCCCCCAAATGCAGCCAGGGTGCGGCTGCAGCTCTCTGCACGGAGAGCAGCAGGCACAACATGCCCGGGATTTCTCAGAGAAAGCTCAGAGAAGGGAATGAAAACAATTCTTATCTCTATTTGCTGCTCCCGTTGTTTGGCACACGCGGAATGTGTTATGGGGATTGTCTACCAGAAGGGAATTGTTAATTGGACTCTGGTGATGGTTGTTTTGATTGATTGACCAGTTAAGGCAAAGATGTGTCGTGACTGTCAGAAAAGCGTCATGGGTTTTTCTTTAGTATTAGTATAGTACAGTACAATGTAGTTATAATAGCTTATAAAGCAATTATTTAATAACCTAATTGCTTAATAAAGCAATTATTTAATAAACTAATAAACAAATTGCTTATAAAGCAATTAGTTAATAACCTAATTGCTTATAAAGCAATTAGTTAATAAACAATTGCTTAATAAAAAAATTGTTCAGCCTCCTGAAATCACTCGAGTCATCCCACGTTACTCCCCTGCTGGGGTTCGTCCTGCTACAATACCCAGGGGAGCGTTTGCTGAGCCAGGAGAGGGCCCCAAGCTGCCCCAAATCCCACCTCTCCCCACCCTGAAGCACCTTTGACTTTGACGTGGAGGATGTCGTGGCCGTCCTCAATGCCGTGCTGCACGTCGCAGCGGTAGATGCCCGAGTCGTTGGGGCGCAGCTCGGTGAGCAGCAGGGAGGCGTTGGTGTAGCGCTGGTGGAAGATGGGCAGGGAGGCGCGCAGCCGATAGTCCTCGCTCACCTTCACCCTGTCCCCCCGAGCTACCAGGATCTCCACCTCCCTGCCCTCAGAGATGAAGGTCCACTTGACCCGGGGTGTCCCCAGGACGGCGCGGCGGCCGCCCGTGCCAGCGGTGGGCTGGGGGCCAAGGTAGGTGATGAGGCAGGGGATGGTGATGTCGCCTGCCAGCACGGCCTCGAGGGCTGGGTGCCGCGGGATGGACACCTGCAGAGCCTTGGGGTCCTCTGGGTGGGAGAAGAGAGGAGCTGTGAGCGGGGTTGGTGTGAGGGGCCCCCCCAGACCCCTGCTGCAGGGCACCGATGGGGCACACATGGTGCCGAGTTACCTGTGCCATCTCCAGGGCCAAACACTTCTGGGAGCACCGTGGGGACAAACAGCCAGAGCAGCAGCAGCAGCGGGAGGGCTGGGGCCATGCTCTGCCCTGCAAGGGGGAAGCAAAAACCACCAGCTGTGTCCAGAATCCATAAAAACACCAAAAATCTCCCATCCCTGCAGGAGGGGAAGTGGCTGGGGAGATCCCCCAGGCCCGTGGGGTGATGGATGTGGTGGGAAGGGAAGGGAAGGGAAGGGAAGGGAAGGGAAGGGAAGGTGCCATGGCTCACAAGAGGAAAAAGACAACATGAGCAACCAGGAGCATTGGCTGGGAGCCACTGGGTGCCATCCAGCCCCTCTGACCTTCCCCAGGAGCTGGGTCCCCTGGGGACAGCAGAGTCCAGCCTGGCCTGGACAGCACAGATGGTCCCAGCCCAAGCGCTGGCTGCAGCGGGCAGGGAGGCGATGCCAGCGCCAGGGCTGTGTGCCCGTGGTGCCACCGTGAGAAACCTCAGCGGGTGTTTGGTCAGGAAGGAGGTGCTGAGGGAGGTCAGGGAGCAGGTGTGCACACGGGTGTGCTCGTGCTGCTGCACGCTGCAGGTGTGCACACGCGTGTGCGTGCGCTCGTGCACGTGTGCCCGGCCAGGGGTGGCTCGTGGAGGGAGCTGAGGTCAGCGAGCAGGGGGGGACAGCCCAGAGCACACAAAGCCCGGGGCAGAGGGGGAGGGAAGGAGCAGGACGGCTTCTTTGCCATTCAGCTCACGCCGGAGGCTCCCCGTGCGCGGGCTGGGAAAAGCCAGGCTGCCCAAAGCCACCATTATGTCCCATGCCTCTCCCAGGCTGCCTGGCACAAAGGGCTCTCACCGGTGGGCTGGGGACCTGTGCTGAAAGAGAGCCCTGTGGCCAGCACTGCCATCACCCAGCCCTCTCTGGGGAGCAGCACATGGGGTGACAGGCACATCATGGGGGGCTCTGGGTGTCCTTGCTGAAAGGAGAGCCCTGTGGCCAGCACTGCCATCACCCAGCCCTCTCTGGGGAGCAGCACATGGGGTGACAGGCACATCATGGGTGGCTCTGGGTGTCCTTGAAGTCTTGCTGCTTTTGCAGCCATCCAGAGAGGAGGCTGATGCTGGGAGTGTGGGGAAATGTCCCTGCCAGGTGCACTGCTCCATACCCCCTGATCCCTTTGCAGAGGCTCCTTGGGGCTCCTCAGCCTCCCGTGCCAGGGATGCATCGTGCCATTGCCTGGGAACAGAGCAGCTGAGACTCGGAGCAGGTTTGTAATTTATGAGCTCTTTGCGCTGTATTGATTTCAGCAGCCACAGGGGCAGCTTAGGCCATGTCCAGTCGCTGGCTGCAGGCACAGCCTGCCAGGAATCTCAGGGTCTGCTGCCCTGGTCACCTCTGTCTCTCCTCAAGCTGTGTTCCCAGAGTGTGCCCAAGGGACACTGCTCTGGGGAGAGGGTGTGAATCCAGCCCTGGACACCACACACTGTGCATGCACACCCCAGCACCAACTACCATGGATGTGCAGCCCCTGGAGCCATGGTCATACAGCCATGGCACAACACACCATGGATGTGCACCCCCTGAAGCCATGGTCATACAGCCCTGGCACCACACACCATGGATGTACAGCCCCTGGAACCATGGATGTACAGCCCTGGCATTTCACACCAGGGATGTGCAGTCCCTGGAGCCTTGGATGTACATCCCTGGTACCATGTACTTCCCTGGCAGCACACACCATGGATGTACAGCCCCTGGAACCATGGATGTACAGCCCTGGCATTTCACACCAGGGATGTGCAGTCCCTGGAGCCATGGATGTACATCCCTGGCACCATGTACATCCCTGGCAGCACACACCATGGATGCACAGCCTCTGGAACCATGGATGTACATTTCTGACACCACACACCATGGATGTACGGCCCCTGGAGCCATGGATGTACATTCCTGGCAGCACACACCAGGGGTACACAGCCCTTGGAGCCATGGATGTACATCCCTAGCAGCACACACCATGGATTTACAGCCCCTGGAGCCATGGATGTACATCTCCGGCACCATGTATATCCCCAGCAGCACACACCATGGATGTACAGCCCCTGGAGCCTTGGATGTACATCCCTGGAAGAACACACCAGGGGTACACAGTCTCTTCAGCCACGGATGTACATCCCTGGCAGCACACACCGTGGGTACACAGTCTCTTCACAGGCACATCATGGGGGGCTCTGGGTGTCCTTGTTGCTTTTGCAGCCATCCAGAGAGGAGGCTGATGCTGGGAGTGTGGGGAAATGTCCCTGCCAGGTGCACTGCTCCATACCCCCTGATCCCTTTGCAGAGGCTCCTTGGGGCTCCTCAGCCTCCCGTGCCAGGGATGCATCGTGCCATTGCCTGGGAACAGAGCAGCTGAGACTCGGAGCAGGTTTGTAATTTATGAGCTCTTTGCGCTGTATTGATTTCAGCAGCCACAGGGGCAGCTTAGGCCATGTCCAGTCGCTGGCTGCAGGCACAGCCTGCCAGGAATCTCAGGGTCTGCTGCCCTGGTCACCTCTGTCTCTCCTCAAGCTGTGTTCCCAGAGTGTGCCCAAGGGACACTGCTCTGGGGAGAGGGTGTGAATCCAGCCCTGGACACCACACACTGTGCATGCACACCCCAGCACCAACTACCATGGATGTGCAGCCCCTGGAGCCATGGTCATACAGCCATGGCACAACACACCATGGATGTGCACCCCCTGAAGCCATGGTCATACAGCCCTGGCACCACACACCATGGATGTACAGCCCCTGGAACCATGGATGTACAGCCCTGGCATTTCACACCAGGGATGTGCAGTCCCTGGAGCCATGGATGTACATCCCTGGCACCATGTACATCCCTGGCAGCACACACCATGGATGCACAGCCTCTGGAACCATGGATGTACATCCCTGGCAGCACACACCAGGGGTACACAGTCTCTTCAGCCACGGATGTACATCCCTGGCAGCACACACCAGGGGTACACAGTCTCTTCAGCCATGGATGTACTTCCCTGGCAGCACATACCACGGGTACACAGTCTCTTCAGCCATGGATGTACATCCCTGGCAACACACACCAGGGGTACACAGCCCCAGGAACCATGGATGTACATCCCTGGCAGCACACACCGTGGGTACACAGCCCACAGCACAGGGCACTGTGCATGCACAGCTCCTAACACCAAAGAAGCGCCCCTAGCACCACACCCCATGGGCATCGACCATCCAGTGCAGACCACAGACATCCCCTTCCCAGCAGGAGCAGCCAGAGCTGGATTGCCCAGGAGCTGGCCAGTGGTGCCAGGGCCAAGCCAGGAGCTTTCTGTGCTCCAGACAGATATTTTGAATGCAGCCCCATGGTTCTGGAGTGAGGGACAAAACCCTCCTGCGTGGCAGCCGTGGCCAGGCTCCAGCACGGGGGCTGGTGCCACCCCCTGGGCAGCCAAGCGAGGAAGGCTTTTGTCACTGGCACCTTTTCTTCCAGTCCCCAAGGCGCCGTGGTGGCGCGGACAGCAGCCCTGAAGTGCCGGGGAGGAAATCCAAGAGATAAAATTCCACAGGAATTGGGCAAGCTGGAGTGGCTGCTCTCCTCCTGCGCCCATCCCTGACTGTGTGCTGGCACTGGGAATGGGGTGTGGAAAGGGTTAAAGGCAGTTTCACCCTGCCAGTGGGTGATGGCCCCAGCTCCTGGAGTCCCGTGATGACCACAGACTCTCAGACGTCAGGTTTGGGGTTTGGGATTGGATTTTTGCACTGGGTATTTTTCCTGTTTGCCACAAATGGAAAATCTTTCAACCCACAAGTTCTGAGGGAAAAGCTGAGAGCAGGACTAGGGAAGAGAGGCCAAAAAATGTTGAATAATTATAATGGCAGCGGCTCGTGAGGCTCAACTGTCCCAGAGACCTCCGAGCTCAGGGATCAGACAGACATACAGGCACTCACGTGGCAGGGCCAGCTAACCTCCATTTCTGTGGGAAACCAGGTGGAAAATGGAGCTGAAATCTATTTTGGGACAGCACTGCTCTTCCTTTCTCCCCTGAGCTCGGCCCTGCTTTCAGAGCTGGCTCCTTGAACGTGGCACCTGCAGGATCTGGGGCTGCAGCACCTGCTCCAGGGCTCAGCACAGGAGCTGCTGAGAGTGGGTGTCCCTTTTCATCTCCGGAGGGGCTTTTCTTCTGTCCCCTCCACGTGATGGTTGCTCACGCCGCTCCCAAGGTGCCCTGCCAGCCCGCAGCGAGCCGGAGGAGGAGGGAGCGGAGCGGTGGCTTTCCAGGGATGCTCAGCTGCAGAATGAGTCAGCAGCCTCCGGCACAGCCTGGCCTCGCTCCAGCCCCGTCCCCACCAGCAAAGGGCTCCGGACCCGCCGCTGCCGCCCCGGCTGCCGCCCGGGAACGGGAACGGAACCGGGACCGGGACGGACCCGCAGCTCCGGCCGCCGCTCGCTCGTGGCTGCGCCGTGTCCGCCCCCCCGGAGCCACAAAGCAGCGCTGCCTCCAGGATCCGTCCCCACCCCCGCGGCCAGCGGAGGGGTCCCCGGTGGGAGCGGGGCCGTGCCAGGCACATGCCAGCCCCGGGATGCGCGGGGAGCGCCCGGAGGGCTCTTGGCAGCGGAGCTGGCAGAGCTCAAAGGCCGGAAGCAGGTGGGGAGGAGGGGGGTTCCCTGCAGCTGCCAGGACCCCCAGCCCCCCGAACAGGGAGAAAGGGGCTCCTTGTTGCAGGGGGAGAGCGCGGGGAGGGTCCCTGGGGGGATTCAGCCCCGCACGGATGGGCCGGGTGCGAGCAGAGCCCGCAGGAGCAGCCAGGGATGCACCAGCACGTGTAGCCCTGGGTAAGTGTGTCACACGCACACGTGAAAGGTTTGCACACCCACCCCCGCCTTCTCGGGCTCTGGTGGGAAACTGAGGCACGAGGTGGGGGTCCCTGATTTCAGCACTGCAGCTCAGCTGGGAGCCAGCCCCGCTGCCAAACTCGCATCTCCCCCCTCCCAGCACAACCTCACCCCATCTCCCAGTTTCCCCAGTCTAAAGCCATCCCCTGAAAAGCAGCCCTAATATCTCCTGTTCAGCCTCTCCCTGCCATGCCTGAGCCCAGAAGTTACAAAAGGCTCCAGGCTGGGCGCAGGGAGGTTTCTCCCACCCCACGGGTGGCCAAAAGGAAGAGCAACAGGTTGTGGGTTGGGTTGAGAGAGGAGAAGTCGGCGTGACAGGAGCAGAGGTCCCTGGCAGGGATGCTCAAGGGCAGCCCCTTCGTCCTGCGACGAAATGCTCCGGCTGCGGGAGGGGAAAAGTGCTGCAGGAAAATTCCCTCTCCCCGGGACACCCCCGGCGGGTCTGGGGTTCGCAGTGGGGCTGATCGGTTGGAAAAAGCCGTAAAAATCCTGAAACATTTTCTCCCAGCCCCTGCTGCCTCCCCCGCTGGGACACCAGCAGAGAGAGCTGCGGGAGGACAGGGAGAACCATCCCAAATCTTGGGCTCGGCCCCAGCCCCTCCCCGGGACCGCGCAGCTTTGCCCCTGAGCCCAGCCCACCCCCGCGGGGAGCAGCGACACGACCGGGAAGGAGTGGGGGGAGCCGGATCCCTGCCCGACTCCGTGCCTCAGTTTCCCTTCGCACTGCTGCCCTGACTGCAGCCTCCTTGGGACAAGGACCAGAGACTCTGCAGGGCAAACAGAACACACCAGCCTCATCCGGGATCCTGGCCCCTCTCCCAAAATGAGGTTCCTGAGGGAGCAGCTGCTGAAAGTGCCCGGAAAATGCCCTTTCTGCCCAACACCTCCGATCCCCGCTGCTGGAGGGGCCGCGGGCCGGGCTGGGCTCCGGGCTGGGCTCCGGGTTGGGCTCCGGGTTGGGCTCCCGGCTGCAGCAGCCGGGCAGCACCAATGTCCTTTATCCTCCCAACTTCGCAAGAGCCCCCCCAGCCCCCGCTGCGCCTTTAGCAAAGCTCGCAGCGCGGTGCTGCCCTCGGGGGGGTCGGTGACAAGGACAAAGCTCCCCGAGCATCCCCTGCTGCAGGGCAGGACGGTGCCCTGTGCCCCCCGCGGGCAAAAACCCCAGAAAACCTCCGGGCATCGCCGGCTCAGGTCTCGTTTCTCTTTGTGCCCGTGCGGGGGTGAAAGGCGAGACCGGAATGAAAAGCGCAGATCCCGGAGACACCGCAGCGCCCGGGGCACCCCCGGCACCGGGGCACCACCGGCACCGGGACACCGGCGCTCCCGCAGCTCACCTGGCTCCGTGCGTGGCCGCAGCACCGGCGGGGGCTGCCCTGGCCCGGGGCACCGGCGTGGGGCTGGGCTGCGGCTCCTCCGGGGCAGCGCGGGCAGCAGGTTGGCAGCAGGGCTGGGAAGGAGCTGCACCAGGCATAAGTGCAGGCACCGAGAAAAGAGCCTTCTGTGTGTGTGTGTGTCCGTGTCCTCCACTCTGCTTTTTTTTTTTTTTTTCTCCCTTCCCCTTTCCCTCCTCCTTTTATATTTATTCCTTCCCCTAATTAAGAAGGAAAAAAAAAAAAAAAAAGATACTACCGTGGTGTTGGCAGGCTCCTCGTCCCTCCCCGTCCCTCCCTCCTGGCAGCTGGCAAAGCCCGCACGAGAGGAGGATGCTCAGCCGGCGCACGGTGTTAACCCAATGCAGCAGAAGTGGGGGAGCAGAGGATGGGGGTGCCCCCTCCCCAGACACCGCCATGGCACGGGAATGCCCTTGGAGTGCTTATTCCGGGGGTTTGGCAGCTTCAGCTGGACGGGGAGGGGGTCGCGGGCGGGGGTCCCCGTAGCCAGCAGAGACTTTGTCATGTAAAAGCCCTTTTGCTGCGGGGCCGAGGTGATTGGAGGCACCGCTCTAGGGCTGGAGGAGCCCAGGGGCTTTGCCAGCCCCGCAAGGGTGGTGGGAGCAGCCAGAGCCAACCTCCCCGCACAGCACTCACAGCCAAGTCTGGTCCGTGCCTCAGTTTACCCAGCGGTATCTGCGTCAGGGCCAGGATAATTTATGCGTCTTTAGGCTGCAATGCCTAAAATCCTCCTTCCTGCAGGAATGCTGGGGACCTGGGCACCAGTGGGGTCTGGTGGGCAGCTGGCACACCCCATTTGCAGACTCAAGCCCCTTGGCAGAAGGGCAGCACCCAGCAGCTGGCATCAGGGGTTTTTTTAAGCAGATCTCGCTGAAACTTTCCTTGGCACGGAGCATTCCCTGCCCGGGGGGGCGGCGCGGAGCCTGCCAGGGAATTGCTCGGGTGAGTTTGCAGAAAGCCACAGCTCCTGAGCAGAATTAATCATTTGTCGCCCTGGGAAATAATTGCAGGCGGCAGAGGCGGCCTCGGCAGTGCAGCAGCTCGGGGGGGGGTGTCCAGTGGGGGATGCTTGGCCACTCACACCATGGGGATGGACACACCACGGGGATGGACACACCACGGGGATGGACACACTGCGGGGATGGACACACCACAGGGATGGACACACCGTGGGGATGGACACAGCATGGGGCTGGACACACCGTGGCAAACCACAGGACTGGACACTCACACTCACCTGCTGGACACTCACACTCACCCACACAGTGCTGGACACTCACACTCACAGAGCTGGACACTCACACTCAAACCACAGGACTGGACACTCACAGTGATGGGCACTCACACTCATTCTCACACTCACACCACAGTGCTGGGCACTCACACCACAGGGCTGGACACACCATGGGGCTGGACAATCCCTCACAGTGCTGGACACTCACACTCACCCTCACACTCACACCACAGGGCTGGACACTCACAGTGCTGGGCACTCACACTCACAGTGCTGGACACTCACACCACAAGGCTGGACACACCATGGGGCTGGACACATCACGGGGCTGGACACTCACACCACAAGGCTGGACACACCATCTGGCTGGACAATCCCTCACCCTCACCCTCACAGTGCTGGACACTCACCCTCACCCTCACACTCACACCACAGGGCTGGACACTCACAGTACTGGACACTCACACCCACACCACGGTGCTCACTGCCCTGCCAGGATGGGCACCGGGACGTGCAGGGGTGAACCCCCAGGGCTGCCCCAGCCTCCCCTCCCCAATCCCAGCCCGTGAGCTCCCATCCTGTCCCCAGATAGGAAACCCATCCCCAGAAATGCACTTTGAGGGACAAGGCTCCCCAATCCCAGCCTGTGAGCTCACATCCTGTCCCCAGATGGGAAACCCACTCCCAGAAATGCACTTTGAAGGACAGGGCCCCCCATTCCAAGCACACGAGCTCTCATCCTGTCCCCAGATAGGAAACCCTTTACTATATATTATTATTACTCTTTACTATATATTATTATTATTAATATTTACTCTATATTAATATTTATTATATATTATTTAATTATTCTATATTATTACTCTTTATTATATAATATCATATTTCTTATGTATTCTTATTAATCTTTATTCTATATTATTAGTCTTTATTATGTATTATTAATCTTTATTCTATATTATTATTAATATTTATTCTATATTATTATTACTCTTTATTACATATTATTATTACTCTTTATTATATATTATTATTAAGAAACCCATTCCTTTTATAAACCATACAGGTGTATTGTTTACAATAGAATACAATATTTATAGTACAGGTGGACCTAATTGCTCCTCCATCCCAAACCCCATCACCACTGGCTAATTAAGAAAGCACCCTTTGGTAAAATCCATCCAAATCTCCATAGCACATTCCACGTGCTCACACCACCAGGTGCAGCAAGCGAAGGCAGGAATTGTTTCTCATTTTTTTCTCTGATCTTCTCACAGCCTTTTCTCAGGCACTGCCTGGGAAAGTTGTGTGACAGTCCTTGGGACACCCAGCTCCTGGAAGGGGCGGGAGGGAAGGGAGAGAAGCAGGCAGGAGCAGGGCACAGCCCCTGTTGGACACCCCAGAGGTTCCCCATCCCTCCCTGCAGCTCTGGAATGCTCTGGCTCAGCCCTCCCCAGCAGCCAAGGGCATGGAAAGGCATGGGGGACCCCCACAGGGACCCCCAACAACCCCAGCCCCCCCAGCCCCAGCTGTGCTCAGGCTGGAAGGGCCTCAGTGCCCAGCTGTGCTTCCTCCTCCTCCTCCCCCTCCTCTTCCAGCCCTGCTCAAAGTCACGTACCAGCCCGTGCCATGCACCCTGTGCCATGCAGCCTGTGCCAAGCACGTGCCAGCTCCCACCCTGGGGCTGTGGGGCACCCTCAAACTGCCACCCCCACAAAGCTTTGCCATGCTAACGGCCACCTGAGCACCCCACGGGGACAAACCCCCTGTTCCCAGGGGGTCCTGACCCTGAGAACCCCCCAGTGGTGCCATCCCAGGGAGTCCTGAGCCCAAGAACCTCTCAGGGGCACAGACATCCCATTCCCGGGGGTTCTGACCCCAGGCATTCCCCAGAGGTCCAGACATGCCTGTCCTAAGGGATCCTGAGCTCAAACATCCCCCAGTGACACAGACATCCCCATCCTGGGGAGTCCTGAGCTCAAACATCCCCCAGGAACATGGACATCCATATCCTGGAGCATCCTGAGCTCAAACATCCCCATCCTGGGGCATCCTGATCCCCAGCATTCCCAGGGACACTGGCATCCCTGTCCTGGGGCATCCTGAGTTCACACGTCCCTCAGGGGCATGGACATCTCTGTCCTGAGGCATCCTGATCCCCAGTATCCCCCAGTAACACAGAAATCCGCATCCTGGGGCATCCTGAGCTCAAACACCCCCCAGGGACATGGACATTACATCCCCATCCTGGGGCATCCTGATCCCCAGCATTCCCAGGGACACTGACAACCCTGTCCTGGGGCATCCTGAGCTCAAACCCCTCCCCCCCCCCAGGGATATGGACATCCTTGTCCTGGGACATCTTGAGCTCAAACATCCCCCAGGAACATGAACATCCTCATCCTGGGACATCTTGAGCTCAAACATCCCCATCCTGGGGCATTCTGATCCCCAACACCCCAGGGACACTGGCATCCCCATCCTGGGGCATCCTGAGGTCAAACACCCCCCAGGGACATGGACATCCCTGTCCTGGGACATCTTGAGCTCAAACATCCCCCAGGAACAAGAAAATCCTCATCCTGGGGCGTCCTGAGTCCTCCCTGGGCTGCAGGATTTCGACCATCCTGCTGCTGGCTGAGAGAGAGGGGCCAGGCACAATGGAGAACCCCAAAAGGCAGGAGGAAGAAGAGGGGGACAAGGCCAGGGAGGAAGGAATTGCTCACTCCCAGGGCACCTCCCAGTACAGCCATGAGCACTGGGGGTCTTTTTGCAGCAATTTTGGGGGCTCCTGGACATCCCAGGTGGAAAGAGGAAGGCCAGGGAGGAAGGAATTGCTCACTCCCAGGGCACCTCCCAGTGCAGCCATGAGCACTGGGGAGTCTTTTTGCAGCAATTTTGCGGGCTCCTGGACATTCCAGGTGGAAAGGAGGAAAGTGGGAGCAGCCAGGCAGTGAGGAAGGGCAGCTCTGGAGCAGATGTGCTGTGGGAATTAGGAGGAGGAAGATAAAGACACGCAGCATCACCCCAGTGCCCAGGGCTCTGGAGACCCCAGATCAATTATTCAACCTCATCACTCCCTGTGCTCCCTAATGGCATTTCAATCTTGGCCGTGAGAGGCAAAGCAGAGCCGGGCCAAGGAGCCAGACAGGATGTCTGGCCGGAGATGAGCCGGAAAGATGATGCCTTTGGGGACCCCCGAGCCGGGTCATCCCCCCGCCGTGCCCCCCTCAGGCACCAGGGGAAAGCCCGGTCCCTCGCAGGGGCTGGAAGGAGCTCGGGGACGGCTCTGGGTGGCCTTTGCCAGCAGAGGGGACTGTTGCTTGTCTTTCCAGAAGCGCTTGCCTAGAGCCTGTCCCGTGGGACAGCTCGGGAGGAAACATTCCTGTCCTCCTTGCCCTGGTGAGGACATAGCGGGGACCCTCCCGTGGGAAAAATCAGCGTCTCCCGGGAGAAAACTCTGGCAAGTCTCTCCCCGAGCTACGTTTTCCTTCTCCTTTTGTTCGCAGAAACCTCCCGAGTTTGAAATTTTTCATCTCCGCCCCTCGGCAGCGCACTGCCCTTCCCCCAGATAAGTCATCTGGGGTAAATAAAGCGAGAAAAATCAAAAATCCTAATCCCCAAATATCCGACCGTGACTTTTTGAAAGCTCTGACGGAAACCAAACTTGGAGCCGCCGCTTGCCAAGTTTCGGAGGCTGCCGGAGGAGCTGCTCCCGTTGGGCTCCCGGCTCTGCAGAGCCCGCCAGGGACATCTGGAAAGAGGGAAGATTGCAGCTGGACACAGCTGGACACAGCTGGATGCAGCGCCCCGGGGTGGCACCGGCTGGGACCACTGAGCTGTGCCGAGGGATTTCCTTACGGATGGATGCAGGGACCTGCCAAGAGGTGTCCTCGGGTCCTCGCTGCAGCCATCACCTCCCCACGGCTGTGACACCCTCGGCGGGCTCCTCTGGGGCTCCTTGCCCCAGGTTTTGGAGCAGCAGGGGGCTCACAAGCCACCACCGAGGGATGCTGCAGCCAGGATGGGCATCTGCCAAGCGCCCTTGGACGTGTCCCAAGCTCCACGCCGAGCCCCACGGCAGCCCTCCAGTTCCCTGGCATGGCCCTCGGGCTTTAGGGAGGGTATTCCCAGCCGAGCCACGCCGGGACAGGATCCAAGCCCTCAAGTCACCCTCCCGAAGTGGGAAGGAGCACCTTGCTCTTCCGCCGGGCTCGGAAATCGGAGCTCAGCGTCGAGCCCACGTGGGCTGGAGCCGGCTCGGCTGTGCAAGGGTTAAATCCGGCTGCTCGTCCGGGTCTCGGGGGCCTCCCACTCGGCAGCGCAGAGTATGAATAGCTGCGCTCCCCTCTGCTCCCAGGCACTCGCTTCCCTCCCCGCCTTCCGCTGTCTCGGCGTTCTCCCCGCATCCTCCTGCCCCGGCAGCCCCCGGCAGCGCCCATGCTGAGCACCGAGAGTTTCGCGGGGGCGAGAGCCCTGGGAGAGGAATCGCTGCAGATGTGGGACCTCAACAAGCGGCTGGAGGCGTACCTGGCCCGCGTGAAGTTCCTGGAGGAGGAGAACGAGGTGCTGCGAGCCGAAATCCAGAGCACCAAGAGCAGCCCGGCCGGGGACTCGTGGCGGGCGAAGTACGAGGAGGAGCTGCGAGCCCTGCGGGATGCGCTGGATCTCGCCTTCAGGGAGAAGTGCACGGCCGAGCTGGCCAGGGACAACCTCTACGAGGAGGTCCAGCAGGTGAGAAGCAGGTGCCAGAAGGAGCAGGCAGCCCGAGAAGAAGCTAAGAAGCAGCTGTCCTTGAGCAGGAAGGAGCTGGAGGAGGAGAGGAGAGCACAGATCTGGCTGAAGGAGAGGGCTGTGCAGCTGGAGAAGGAGGTGGAAGCCTTGCTGGAGGTGCACGAGGAGGAGAAAGCGGGGCTGGACCAGGAGATCGCCAGTTTCTCCCACAGCCTGGAGAGTTTCCGCTGTGCCCCGGTGGCTTTCCAGCCGGTGGAGGTGGAGGATTACTCCAAGAGACTCTCGGAGATCTGGAAAGGGGCGGTGGAGACCTACAAGGCAGAGGTGGCGCAGCTGGAGGGTTCCCTATGCCAGGCCAAGGAGAACCTGTGGAAGGCGGTGGAGGACAACCAGCAGAGCCAGCTGCAGCTGCAGCACCTGGAGAAGGAGCTGGCAGGGCTCAAAGCACGCAAGGAGATGCTGGAGGAGAGCCTGGCCCGGCAGTGGCAGGAGCAGCGCGGGGAGGCAGAAAAGTTCCAGGCGAGTGAAAATCACCGGGGAGGGGACAGCAGAGGGATGTGGGTGTCTGGGGGGGCACCCAGGGAGCGTCCCCGAGCAAAGGGATATGAGAGGTGGATGAGGGGAGGCAAACAGAGGGAACAAACCCCAGGGAAGGGATGGAGATGGTCCTGGATGAGCTGGGGGCGGGGGCAGGAGGAAGAGCAAAGTGGCTTGGGGACATCTCTGTCCCCGGCACAACAGAGACTCAGGGCCACCAAACTGCAGGGGAGCAGCAGCGGACTCCGGGTCCTCCCCCAGCACCCTGCCGGGCTCCGGGGTGGGGATCCCAGGATCTCCGCAGCCCCGCCGCCGCCCCCGGTGCGGGCAGGACAAATTCCCACCGACCCCACTGCAGCTGAGACCCGACAGCTGCAAAAGCGATTCAGCCGAGGGAGGTGGAGGCGGAGCGGGCTGGAAACACCGGGAGCGGCGTGAACTCTGCCCGGGGAAGGGTCTGCCTTTGTTCCAGCTTCTGGGAGCAGCGCTGGCTCTCCCGGGGCAGAGGATGCCGCCGCCTCTGCTGTTCCCCTGAAAGTTGTTTCTTTCCCAAGCTGGCTGTGAATCACCCCGGCCTTTCCTCCCTCTTCCCGTCCCCTTTCAGCCCTGCTCACCCTGCCCCATCCTCTGCCCCCCGTGCTAAAATGAGCGCCCAGGCTCCTGAGCATCCTGCGGGGATGAGCCGAGCCACCTGCCCGGCCAGGTCCGCGGGGACCGGGGGGGCTCAGGCGGGGCTGGGGGCGACCCTGACCCTCCCCGTCCTGCCCGCAGCTGGCGCTGGAGGCCCTGGAGCAGGAGCAGCAGAGCCTGCGGGTGCAGATCGCCCGGGTGCTGGAGGACAGGCAGCAGCTCATGCACCTCAAGATGTCCCTCAGCCTGGAGGTGGCGACCTACAGGTGAGGTCTGGGTGGGCACGGAGCCGGGCCTGGCACCGCGGCGGGCACAGGGGGGTGTTGGCACTCTAGGGGTAGCCCTGTGCCCCTTGCGCGGCCCTTCCAGATGGCCCCGCACAAAGGCGGCCTGCCAGGGACAGGGGGGACAATTAGCATGAGAATGGGGCTGTCCCAGCCCGGGCGAGGGGCCTCCCCGGCAGAGCATGATGTCACCCTGCGGGGACACTAAGCCCGGCCACGGGGGGATGGGAGGGGGCGCAGGAGCGAGGGCGTGTGCTTCGAGCCGTGCCAGAGCGGTACAACCACCCGTGCCTCAGTTTACCCATCCTGAAGCCCTGTATCCAGAGTGGCACGAGCAGCCGTGTCTCAGTTTACCTGCCCTGGGGTGCACAGGGAGCATCCAGCACCCTGCAGCACCCACTGAGCTCCTCTCTTCCTCCTCCTCCTTCCTCCAGGACGCTGCTGGAAGCGGAGAGCACCCGCCTGCAGATGCCGGCAGGAGAATTCAGGTTGGCCAACGGGGTGCGAGGTAAGGGACCCCCAACACCACCCCTGGGAGGGATCGGAGGGGGTTAAATGTGCTTAAATGTGGATTTACACAGGTTTTCCTGGGGGGGTGTAGATGTGTTTAAATGCGGATTTAAACATATTTTCCTGCATTTTCCTGGCTGGGGTTAAATGGGTTTAAATGTGGATTTAGACACTTTTCCCTGCATTTTCCCGGCAGCGATAGGAAGGTGTGAACAGCGGCCGGGGGCTCTTGGCACGGGGCTCACAGCCCGGATAAGGCTTATCTGCTCCTTCACAAGCCTTATCTGCTCCTTTGCCTCGTTTTTAATTCCCTGCCTTTCATGGGAAGGGCAGGAACGGATCTGCCCGGCAGGACAGGACGGAGGGCTGTGCTAACCAGCTGAGCATTTCCTTTTTCCTCAAAACAAAACAAAAAACAAGGAAAGCTTGTCACCTGCACACTTTCCCCAGCAGCAGGAGCCGGCTGCGGCTGCAGCTGGGCACAGCATTGTCCCGGCCTGATGCTGAATCCCCCGGGGCCAGCAGCATCCGCTGCACTCAGGAGGGAGGAATTTCCCACTTTCCAAGAAGGAGCTGTTTAAAAATAGGAGAAGGGGCAGGGGAGGGCTGGGAGCGGCTCCTCGCCTGCTCACGGCTCCCCCTCGCTCTTTGCAGATGTCAAACTGGAGGTGAGCAGCAGCAAAGCGGTGGCAGCGAGCCCCGAGGCCAGGCGGCTGCTGCCCCGAGAGCCCCGCGCCAGCCCCTTGCCCCGGGCAGAGCTCAAAAAACCCCAAAGCGACACCCTGACCCCCCAAAGAGCCAGGGAGCTCCAGAAAATCACCTCAGCTCTCCATGGAAGTGCTACCGGCAGGGCTGGGGGGCAGGGAGCCCCCGCACCCAGCCCCCCCCAGGCGGGCAGAGCCGACCCTCCGCTCTCCCCGGAGCCCCCCAGCCCCTCCCCGCCGCAGCGGGAGAGCTCTGGGGGAGACGGTCCCGCCTGGCCGGGAGGAGATGAGGCAGCGATGAGCCTGGGGATGGAGTGTCCCCTGTCCAGAGCCCCGGGGGACATTGGCAGCGCCAGCCTGCAGCCCCTGGGAGCCGCCCACAGGCTGCAGTACCCGGCCCAGCTGGTCAGCGAGGTGCTGGAGGATGCCCTCAAGGCGATGGAAGGCGATGCTCAGCTCAAAGAGGAGCCCACACCCAGCTCCACGTGGGATATCTGTGCCCCCAGCCCCGTTTTCCCCCCAGAGGTTTGTGGAGAGGCTGTGCCAGAGCGGCCTGGGGAGCAGCGAGAGCCCTCGGAGGGCTCTGAGAATGGAGAGAGCGCCGAGGCAGAGCAGAGGGCTGGAGAGGGGATGCTCCAGGGGCTGGCTGGGGAGAGCAGCGTCCTGCAGGACACAGCCCCGTCCCCACAGGGCACGGCCGCTCCCCTGAGTGCCTCGGGGAGCCGGGAAGAGCTGGGAGCGTGGGAGGAGGAGGAGGAAGAGGAGGAGGTACCTGCTGTGCTGAGCCCGAGGCATCGAGAAATGGAGGCCCAGGAGGGGGACAAGGATCTCCCTGGACAGACAGAGAGCAGCTGGGAAAAGCCAGAGGAGGAGAGGGCAGAGAGCCCAAGCACAGAGCCATCACACCCCTCAGAGGAGGAGGAGGAGGAGGAGAAGGGGGATTTCCAGGAAGAAGGAACAGGTGTGCAAGAAGAGTGCCCACACAAAGAAGTGGAAGCTGCTAGTGGTGTCCTTGTGGAAAACCACCTGGTGTTGCCCACAAAAGGTCACCTGAGAGAGGACTTTGCTGATGCAGAGCAGGAAAGGTCTGAGCAGCAGGAAATGCCCGTGTGTGAGATGGATCTGGCTGCAGAGAAGGGAAGGGAACAGGAGCTGTGTCTAGAACAGGAGCCCTCGAGTGCCCATGAGGCCATCCCAGCAGAGGAGGCTCCCACAGGAGCTGAAGAAGACACTGTGGGACAGGAGGCCACTGGCAGAGTGGAAGATGCTGAGGGAGAAAAGGGAGAGGCCAGCAGGGAGGTGCTGGGAGGAGAGGATCGTGGGGTGGGACAGGACCCCATGGCAGTAGAGCACCTCACAGCAGGAGAAGATCATGGGGCAGGAGAAGATCATGGGGCTGAAGAAGATCATGGGGCTGAAGAAGACCATGGGGCTGAAGAAGATCATGGGGCAGGAGAAGACCATGGGACAGGAGAAGATCATGAGACAGGAGAAGACCATGGGGTAGGAGAAGGCTCTGAGGCAGGAGAAGACCATGGGGCAGGAGAAGGCTCCCAGGTAGGAGAGGACCCTGGGTCAGGAGAGGCTGTGGCACCAGGTGACACCCTGGAGGGGGACAGCAGAGCCCCAGAGGAGCCTGAGGACCTGCAGGAAAGCGAGGGGGAGGAACAGGAGGAGCTGGAGCCAGGAGAGGAGCCCTGGGGACAGGAGGGTGGTGGCAGTGGCCAAGAGCCCTGTCCAGAGGACTGGGAGGTGACAGCAGGGGACACTGAGGGAGTGTTGGGGCCAGAAGAGGCAGCCTGGGCAGATGACACCCCGAGCAGTGCAGCAAGGCTGGAAAGCGAGGAGAGAGGTGGCACACGGCCAGCAGAGCTGGAGGAGGCCCAGGAAGATGATGAAGAAGATGCCAAGAGCCAGGAGATGAGCCAGCAGCAGGCACTGCCAGAGGCTGAGCCAGCAGCTGAGCGGGCACGGCAGGAGCAGCTGGGCAGCATGGCAGAGCCTGAGGCAGCCCCTCCAGGTGCCCCTGGGCAAGGGGACAGCCAGGAGCTGGAGGAGGATCCAGAGAAGCCACGGGAAGTGCAGGATGAGGACACTGCTGAGGGGCTCAGCCCGGAGCTGGGGCAGCTGGAGAGCTCAGAGCTGGCACTGGAGCAGGTGCCAGGTGACAGCAGCGAGTGGGCATTGGAGGAGACCCCCAAAAACCCAGAGCCCACAGAGCTGGAGGGCTCAGAGCTGGCACTGGAGCAGGTGCCAGGTGACAGCAGCGAGTGGGCATTGGAGGAGACCCCCAGAGACCCAGAGCCCACAGAGCTGGAGAGCTCAGAGCTGGCACTGGGGCAGGTGCCAGATGACAGGGACGAGTGGGCACTGGAGGAGACCCCCAAAAACTCAGAGCTGGGAGAGCTGGAGAGCTCAGAGCTGGCACTGGGGCAGGTGCCAGATGACAGGGACGAGTGGGCACTGGAGGAGACCCCCAAAAACTCAGAGCTGGGAGAGCTGGAGAGCTCAGAGCTGGCACTGGGGCAGGTGCCAGATGACAGGGACGAGTGGGCACTGGAGGAGACCCCCAAAAACTCAGAGCTGGGAGAGCTGGAGAGCTCAGAGCTGGCACTGGGGCAGGTGCCAGATGACAGGGACGAGTGGGCACTGGAGGAGACCCCCAAAAACCCAGAGCCCACAGAGCTGGGGAGTTCAGAGCTGGCACTGGGACAGGTGCCAGGTGACAGCAGTGAGTGGGCACTGGAGGAGACCCCCAAAAACTCAGAGCTGGGGGAGCTGGAGAGCTCAGAGCTGGCACTGGAGCAGGTGCCAGGTGACAGCAGCGAGTGGGCATTGGAGGAGACCCCCAAAAACCCAGAGCCCACAGAGCTGGAGAGCTCAGAGCTGGTGGCACTGGGACAGGTGCCAGGTGACAGCAGTGAGTGGGCACTGGAGGAGACCCCCAAAAACTCAGAGCTGGGAGAGCTGGAGAGCTCAGAGCTGGCACTGGTGCAGGTGCCAGGTGACAGCAGTGAGTGGGCACTGGAGGAGACCCCCAAAAACCCAGAGCTGGGAGAGCTGGAGAGCTCAGAGCTGGCACTGGAGCATGTGCCAGGTGACAGCAGTGAGTGGGCACTGGAGGAGACCCCCAAAAACTCAGAGCTGGGGGAGCTGGAGAGCTCAGAGCTGGCACTGGGGCAGGTGCCAGGTGACAGGGACGAGTGGGCACTGGAGGAGACCCCCGGAGACCCAGAGCCCACTCTGGGCACCGGCAGGAGGGTGGAGCTGGAGGACACACTGCCAGACAGCACACCCCTGCACCTCTACCAAGGAGGGACCCCAAACCCTCCAGAGAGCGAGGAGACCACGGAGCCAGCGCCTGGATGTGACACAGCCCACGAGGGTGGAGGGTGGCAGGAAGGGAGGGACAAGTCACCAACCCCCAGCGTGCCAGAGAGCCCTGAAGAAGAGGCAGGGGCAGAGGGGGCTGAGGAGGAGGAAGGAGCAGAGGGGGCTGAGGAGGAGGAAGGTTATTTCATGGTCTCTGCTCCCAGCCAAGAGGTGTCCAGCTCAGAGGAAGCTGAGATCCCTGAGGACTTTGAAGAAATTAAAGTTGAAGCAACTGAAGACAGCCAAGATGATCTGGGGGCTCGTGGAGAAGCATCTCCAGTGGCAGAGGGCAAAGAGCACCTTGAGGTGCTTGCTGCAGAAGCAGATGAGGATATGGAGATGCCCACTGAAGAACCTGAGGTGCCAAAGGATGAGGAGAGCACTGCTGAGCTGGAGGAAGGCCCAGGAGAAGATCCCAGCTGTCTCCAGGTGACTGGACCATCATCAGGAGGTTCTGATGAGGAAGGCCCAGAAGATCCCAGCTGTCTCGGGGTGGTGGGACCATCAGCTGCAGGTTCTGATGAGGAAGGCCCAGAAGATCCCAGCTGTCTCGGGGTGGTGGAACCATCAGCTGCAGGTTCTGATGGGCCAGCCCAGGGTGCCACGGGCACTGCAGCATGGCAGGGAGCAGAGCACTCAGAAGGTCTGGCTGCTGAACCAGATGAGGAGCTCCCCAACACAACCGAGCTGGAGAGGGGTGCCAGTGGAGCAAGAACCCTCCCAGGCTGCACGCTGGGGTTGGCAGGGCAGGAGGAGGAGGAGGAAGAGGAAGATGAGGATGAGCCCAGCACAGCTCTCCATGACACGGCCAAGGCCACAGCAGAGCTCCAGGGCCAGGCAGTGCCTGGTGAGGCAGAGCAGCCTCTGCAAGAGCAGCCACCCACAGAGGAGGAGGAGGCACTGGGCAGTGAGAGCCTTCCTCCACCCGGGAATGAACAGCCCCCCGGGGCCAGCCCACCTCAGCTGGGCTCTGCACCGGGGCAGGGAGGTTCTCCAGAGGTGATTCCAGCCATCCCTGACACTGCTGCTCTCCCTGCGGAGGTGTCAGTGGATGTCATGAAAGACTCGGGGATTTTGGAAATAGTTGAGCAGGCCCTGGAGTTCAACCAGGAGCTGATGGGGGGGAGGCTGGCAGAGGGTGGGCAGGGTCCTGGCAGGGCCGAGCTCTCCCGGGATGCAGGGGAAGACTCCTCCCTTGCCTCATCCAGCGAGGAGGAGCCAACGGTGCAGGAGGTACCAGAGATGGAGATGGAGGGAGCGCTCCGGGCTGAGAACGGGCTGCACCGGGAGGCCAGCCTGGAAGAGCTGGCTGAATTCACTGAGGAGATGCTGAACGGCACCAGCAGCACAGCCCTGGCACAGGAGCTGCCCACAGAGCCCTCGGGGGTGATGCCAGCACAGATCCCCACCCCTGGAGATGGCACCGCCGCCAAGCTGGGGGATGGCACCCTGAGGGGCAAGCAGCTGAGCCCCGTGCCCCCTGCTCTGGGGGAGGATGTGCTGTGCCTCACAGCCCAGCAGGCAGCAGCCTGTGGGCTGAGGGCTGAGCAGGAGCCCTGGTTCTCAGGGGACGAGTGACAGCAGCCAGGGGCAGCCTTCTGATGGTCCCTTCCTGCCAAACCCTGTACCCCCCTCGTCCCACCCCCTCCTAATCCTTCCCCATCTCCCTGTGGTTTTTAACACGTTTGTGTGGATTTTTTGCACCCCTTTTCAGAGTGAAGAACCACCAAGTTCTGTTGCACCCCCACAGCCCACCCAAATTCTCATGCTTGCTCTGGGACCCTGTTCATTGTGAGCTTCCTCTTGGGTGGGTGTATTTAATTTAAACTCTGTGTTTCCCCATTCCCTGCAATCTTCCCCCTCCAACTCCCCCAGTATTTGCCCCAGGATGTCCAGCTGGAGGTTAGGGACCCTTCCAAAGTGCACCCTGGGACTCAGCATTTTGGGGTTCATCACCCCAGGGTCCCCAGCCCCAGCCTGGGGGCTGAGCCACTCTGGATGTACTCTCTGCCTCATTAATTTAATAAAGCCTCTTCCTCCCACTCAGGCCTGGCTCTCCTCACTCTGGGGGCAGGGGCAGCACGGCTGGGGGGCAGGGGAGGGTACTGCCTGGGGGGGTTGCACTTTCAGGATGCTTTTAGCTGTGGAAGGTGCCCTCGTGGCCACCCAGCAGCAGGGGCTGGGGGCAGGATGGGTGGGATGGTGCTGCCCAGCTCTGAGACGATGCACAGCCCTGGAGCTACCTGGCCACAATCCCTGGGGTGGGGCTGGCCCATCCTGTGGTGGTGCAGCCCCCAGGGCCAGGCAGCCCGCAGGAGGGTGTTCCCCCATTCCCAGTGCAATGCCCCCAGGAGACGTTCCCCCATTCCCAGGGTGATGAAGCCCCCAGGAGGGTGTTCCTCCACTCCCAGGACGATGCAGACCCCAGGGCAATGCCCCCAGGAGATGCTCCTCCATTCCCAGAGTGATGAAGCCTCCTAGGGCAATGCCCCCAGGAAGGGGTGCCCCCATTCCCAAGGCCATGCAGCCTGCAGGGTGATGAGTCCCCCAGGGCAATGCCCCCAGGAGATGTTCCCGCATTCCAGGGCAATGCCCAGAGGAGGATTCTCCCCATTCCCAGGTCGATGCAGCTCCCTGGGGTTACAGACCCCATCCCTGCGCGATGCTCCCCCACCCCCAGACCGATGCCACCCCCCGAGGCGATGCTGCCCCATCCCGGGGCTCCACAGACGCCACTCAAAGCTCGCTGCTGGCCAGGAGCTCCGCCAGCTTCCTCCTGGTTTGCCGGCAGGAGCGGCCGGGATGCCAGCCCGTGCCACCCGGTGCCAGGAGCCAGCAGCGGCAGCCGCCGTTCCTGCCCGGTGTGGGCAGGATGCCCGCGGACCCACCCGCACATCCCGGCCCCGGGAGCCGCCGGGACCCCGTGGGGACCCCCTGGGCAGAAGGGCGGTGGGCTCCAGGGGGCTGGGAGGGGCTCAATCGCCCCGTTGTGCAGCCGGGCGTGGGGAGAGCCGCATAAATCAGCGCGCAGCTGAAGAACGGGCTCCTTTATGCCGGGCAAAGGGCTGAGTCACAGCGGGACAGGGCACACGCTGACTCGGGTGGCCCTGGCATCGCTGGCACCCGCCAGCCTCGCCCCCACGGGTGTGCTCAGCATCGCTGCCCGCCCGGCTCGTCCCCGTGCCCGATTTAGCTCGGTGGTTCCCGTGCCCGGGGATGCTCAGAGCCAGAACCGATAAGAACCCGACATTGAGCTGCCTTCCTCCCAAAACCCCCGGCCCCCTCCCCTGCCCGAAGGCGACAGATTCCTTTTAAGGTGAAACTCCAACCGATCCAAACACCGTAAGAAAAAAAAAAAATCCCCTTCTGATGGGTTTAATCAGGCGCCGAGCCTGCGTTCAATCACACCTCGGCTGCCTGGGCAGCATCAGCCCGGCAGCAGCGCCAGCAGCGCCCCCGGAGCCCCCCGAGGGGTCCCCAAAGCTGGGGGGTCCCGGGGAGAGGGGTGGAGGATGCTGAGGAGGAGAAGGAGATGGCTCGGGCCAGGCTGGGCCGTGCGGGGGGTGACAGTGACATTCCTCCCGAAATGAATGCGCATTCCAGCCGCTGCTGACAGCGCGATGAGGGGGGACAGATGGCGGGGGAGGGGGAGCCCCTTCCTCCCGCCAGGAGGAGGAGGAGGAGGAGGAGGGGAGGAAGTGCCAAATCTCGGAGTCAGCCGAGGGGGATGGGGGAAATTGCCGGGGCCTTTGGGATCCGCGGGGGCTGCAGGCAGGGGAGAAACTCCGGGTGTGGGGAGGGCCCGAGGGGCTGTGCGGGATGGGACCAGCAGCAAGTGTGTCCCCAACAGGAGAGAGTGTCCCCAACAGGACCAAATGTGTCCCCAACAGGACTGAGAGTGTCCCCAAAGGGATTGAATATGTCCCAGCAGGAGCAAGGGTGTCATGGTGGGACCAAATGTGTCCCCAACAGGACAGAGTGTGTCTCCAGAGGGGCTGAGTGTGTCCCTGGTGTGACCCAGCCTGTTCCCAGTGAGATGGAGGATGTCCCCCATGGGATGAAGTGTTTCCTCAGTGGGATCAGGAGTGTTCCCAGTGGGACCTGGGCTGTCCCTCGGCACTATGTGACCACAGCAGGACCAAACATGACCCTGGGGGACCAAACATGACCGTGGGGAGACCAAACGTGACTCTGGGGAGACCAAACGTGACTCTGGGGGAGACCAAATGTGACCCTGGGGAGACCAAACATGACCCTGGAGGGACCAAACATGACCATGGGGGGACCAAATGTGACCCTGGGGAGAACAAACATGACCCTGGGGGGACCAAACGTGACCCTGGGGAGACCAAACGTGACCCTGGGGGGGACACGTGTGCCTGGGTCATCCCATGGCCACTCTGGCTGGGTCTGCAGCTCCCCTGACCCCAAATTCCATCAGACCCCAGCAGGGTGTTCCAGGGGCTGTGCCACCCCCAGCCGGGTGCACACAGGCAGATTTTGGGGACCACGCTGATTCTGGGGGGGGCTGGAAAGAGCAATGCAAGTTCCCTGCATTCAAACCCTGCTCACACCCGGGCAGGAGCACCAGGGGGGCACGGGAGTGTGCAAAGGGGGGTCCTGGGGGTACAGCTCGGGGGGAGCTGCCAATTGTTGCCTGGGCTGGAGCTTTGCTAGCCCCCCGCAGCCCCCCACCCCCCGCAGCCTGGCCCCTCGCCAGCCAGGGAAGGGTTTTGTTTCCTCCCGGCCTGGGCAGGGGATTTTCAATGGAGGCCGCACAAAAAGCTCCCTGTGGGGTGAGCCCGCGCCCGGCAGGGAGGGGGGAGAGGCGGGATGACCTCAGCGATGACTTCATTCCTCTCTCAGCTCCCAAAATTCATGGGAACCTTATAAGGAAAGGACTAAAAATACAGCGGGAGGGGCGAGGGCAGCCCCCCGCTCTCCCTCCCCAAAACGAGCCCTTGGGGATGCAGAGAGCCGGGGCTGCTGCCGAGGGGGATGCACGGTGGGGACAATCCAAAGAGACCCCAAAATCCCCACGGGAGAGCAGAGCAAGGCTGTGGGCGACCCCCAGGGTGGCATCACAGTCCCTTCATGTGGCACCTCCAGGGACACGCCGAGAGCGGGGAGGCGGCTCGGGCACCCCCTGGCCCGCCCTTCACCCGGGTCAGAGCCGGGAATAGCTCCCGACGGATAAAATGAGCCGTGCGCCGGCTCGGGGGCTGCCCAGCTGCCGGGCCGTGACCCCGCCGAGCGGCCGTGCCCCGGCTCGGCGGCAGCTGCTGCCAGCCCGGGGCGCTGCGGATGCCGAGCCCGGGGCAACCCCGCGGGGAATGCGCGCCTGGGGCCGTCCGTCAGCAGGGGAGGGGGGAAACCTGGGACAAGACACCCCAATTCCTGCGTGATGCACCCCCGGAGTGATGCACCCCGATCCCTGGGACAGTGCACCCCGATTCTGGGGCAGTGCACCCCGATTCCGGGACAGTGCACCCCGATTCTGGGACAGTGCACCCCAATTCCTGGGTGATGCACCCCTGGAGTGATGCACCCCGATTCAGGGACAGTGCACCCCGATTCCGGGTGATGCAGCTCCCAGGAGTGATGCACCCCGATTCCTGGGACAGTGCACCACAATCCCTGGGACAATGCACCCCCAGAGTGATGCACCCCAATCCCTGGGACAGTGCACCCCAATCCCTAGGACAGTGCACCCCGATTCTGGGACAATGCACCTCCATCACTGGGGTGATGCACCCCGATTCTGGGACCATGTACCCCGATTCTGGGTGATGCACCCCGATCCCTGGGACAATGTACCCCAATTCCTGGAACAACACACTCCAGTTCCCGGGGTGATGCAGCCCCCAGAGTGATGCACCCCAATTCTGGGGGTTCTTTCCCGTTCCCAGGTGATTCTTCCCCCCAGGGTGGTGCTTCCATTCCTGGGGGCACAAATTCCACCTGGGGCAACGTTCCCCCATTCCTGGGGTGGTGATTCTCCCTGGATCAGTGCCCCCCATCCCTGGGCTGATGATTTCCCATCCTTTGGGAGATGATTTCCCATTCCTGGGCTGATGATTTCCCATCCCTGGGGTGATGATTTCCCATTCCTGAGGTGATGATTCCCCTTAGACCAATGCTGCCCCATCCGTGGGGAGATGATTTCCCATTCCTGGGGTGACAATTTCCCATTTCTGGGCTGACAATTTCCCATCCCTGGGCTGATGATTTCCCATTCCTGGGCTGATGATTTCCCATCCTTTGGGAGATGATTTCCCATCCCTGGGGTGACGCCCCCCCTCATCCCTGCTGGCCCCAGCCCAGCCCTGAGCCCACCCCTGCACCGTGACCTCCCCCAGAATGGGGGCACAGGGAACACTGCCCCCCCCAGACACCCCGAGAGCCCCTGGCCTGCCCTGGCACAGCAATGCCAGCCCGGGAGGTGGCACAGGGACACGGAGGGTGGCACACGGGCATGGGATGTGACACCGGGACACAGGGGGTGGCACAGGGACGCAGGGGACGGCACAGGGACAGGGTGTGGCACAGGGACACGGAGGGTGGCACACGGGCATGGGATGTGGCACAGGGGGACACAGGGGGTGGCACAGGGACGCAGGGGACGGCACAGGGACAGGGTGTGGCACATGGGTGTGGGTGTGGCACAGGGACACGGGGGTGGCACAGGGACAGGGGGGTGGCACAGGGGCACGGGGTGTGGCACAGGAGCACACGGGATTGGCACATGGGCACAGGGTGTGGCACAAGGGCATGGGGTGTGGCACATGGGTGTGGCACAGGGATACAAAATGTGGGACACAGACACAGGGTGTGGCACATGGGCATGGGCTGTGGCACAAGGGCACATGGGAAAGGGAAAAATCCCCGTGCCTCAGTTTCCCTTCTCATCCAGCCACAGCCAGGATGGGGCCGAGCCGAGGATGGGGAGAGGAGAAGCCCCCCCAGAGCCCCCTCCCCGATTTTGGGACACCCCCCCCACACGCTGGGGGACACCAGGGGTGGGCACAGCGAGCG